GTTTTTTGTGGTAAAACTAGGTGCCTCAGCTTATCTTCAGGTCAGCTGATACTCGAGTATAAATGGTAACTCATCCCCAACATAGTGGCTGGGTCTCCTCTTCTTGGGGGATGCATCTGACATTAGCTGGTACTGATGAGTTCACCAGTCTCATATGGTCAGAAGACCAGATATTCTCCATCTGCTATAAGGGTGTCTAAGATTTTAAATCTTTATGAGAGCAGACAGCCTCATCTTTCTCCTACAGGATGGCTGGTGAGTTTGAACCACTGAACTCCCCTTTAGCAGTCAGTCCAAGCCTTGCCCAACAATGATCAAAGTGAAAAAGAAGTGAATATCAACGAGTCGATTCCAATGTATATGGAACCTATCGGACAGGGTAGAACTGCCCCTGTGAGTTAACAAGGCTGTAACCCTTTACAGGAGCAGAGAGCCCCATCTTCCTCCCATGGATCGGCTGGTGGTTTGGGAGCAACTGACCTTTCCGTTAGCAGCCCTTTGCATAACCACGATGCCACCAGGCACCTCCCAACAATGACAGAGCCATCCCAACAGTAAGGAGAGGTTGCCCTTGTGCCAACAGTGCTCTCTGGGAGGAAACAGCAGAACCAAGATCTTGTCAAGGCTTTCAAGACGTCACTTCCTGTTAGCTCTTCAAAATACAGCTTTCGGACTTGTGTCCCCAGTAATCCCTGTACTGCCCTCCTCATGCTCATGAGCCCACATAAATGAAAAGGGTTTGCCATTGAGTCAATTCCCCAGGCATGGCGACCCCATGCTGGAGGGTAGCTTTCCATGGCTTTTTCCCAGGCGCCTCTGTGGTCTCTGGGTGGCTTCAACAGCCTACCTTGAGGGGAGTAGGTACATAGACCATTTTAAATATAAGAATCCACACAAAGGTCCAGGTAGAGGTCAACATATCTCAGAGTTCCAGCTTTGTGGTGGTTAGGTTGATTGGGCCAACTAGGCCTACGTAGGACCGTGTGGGAAGAGTTTAACCAGTTCCCAGCTTGACTGGAGGGCAACCGAGATAAATACTTTGCATTGCTGACATCCTGCCTCTCCTTCTCCCTGGTGACCGGACCAGCACTCTGCTGTCTGAGCTTGTCCTCGGCCTTAACTGTGTGCTGTGCTACTGTGGGCCCAGCCAACCTGTAGATTGTGTCACCTTGCTGTCTGTGTGTACATCACTTGGGGTCCCATCAAAACCTGCTTCACCAAGCTTCCCGAGGATCCATCCAACTGCTTCCCTAGGCTCCCTCACAACTGGCTTTTGCTCCACCTCAATTCCCCATCTTTCTGCTGTTGCTGCCCCACCCTGCTTGTCTTGCCTGAGGGCAGACTCCTCAAGACTGCTGCCTTGACCTTGGACCAACAATCAGGGTGACTTAAAGGACCTTCACTGTATTAATTGCTCCATGAAAGTGAGTTGAACTAAGCCCTCTGTCCTGCTGTGTGGACTAATTAGCTGTTATAGTCCTTCTCTATATATAAATCAATCTATCTATCTATCTATCTATCTATCTATCTATCTATCTATCTATCTATCTATCTATCTATCTAATCGTAAGTGTCCTGGTTTTGTTTCTCTAGAGAACCCTGCCTAACATAAGCTTCTTTAAGGCTCTGGGCCAGTCCATCTCTGATTCTCCAAATTGCCTCAGCACTCCTGCCCCTGTTTCAGTTCAGCACTTCCCTGCAAATTCTCAGAGAACTCCCGAGTTACACTCACAGTTAAGGAAGTCACAGGTAGAGCTTGGGATCCGCATCCGCAAGTACACAGATGTCTGGAAGGCTCCCCTGGAGTGGAACGCTTGTCCCTTCTTCTGCTGCTGGAGGCAGCCGCTTATAAAGCAAATGGCTTGTCAGTTCAAGGCAGAGCCCTCCCAGCAGGAGCACAAACTGACCAATCCCCTCTTTGGACTGCAAAGCACTTGATTTGCACAACAAACCACCAAGTCCTGAAAAGTACAAAATAAGCCAATTGAAAGCCAGACCAAATGTTCCAAACCATCGAATTAGGAATTAGTTACGGCTTACCCCGGAAATGTTAAGCAGCCTAGACAAAAGTAACAAACCAGCTAGGGTAGAAAACTAGGGCAAAATTAACTTCTTGGGGGGAAATAAAAATCTCTCAAACTACTTTTCCAAAGATCCAAATCAAAAAGGACACAATAAGGAGTTCATTTCACTACAACTACAAAGCTAAGCCACGCCCTTTAAAATCACTCTTACTATTAATAACTGGGACATTCTTAGTCCTCCTATCTCACACTACATTCATTTCACACTGACTCTGGACTTATGCAAGAAATAGGGGTGCTTCTTATGGGTAAGATACCAACAATGAAGAAGATTGAAATCCATTCATTAATTTATAAAATTGTTCAATGAACCAATTATACATTTAATGTATCGTCATAGCATGCCTGTTAAGTGCTCACTTTGCTGAGGAGACACCAAATAGCAATAAACATGATTGCGCCTACGTTTCCCTCTGTATTCCAAGCTGTGGGGTAGGTGCTTTACATGTCTTGACGGCTCAGCATCACTCGATGAGAGTGGTCTATTTCCATTGTCTAGGCCACGAGTCTGAGGCTGAGCTAGACTGGGCCACCTTCTCAGGTCTCAGAGCTCTGAGTTCTAGAGCGGAGGTTCCAGGTCCTCTGAGCACCAGAGCCCAGCTCTCCACATGGTCTACGTTGCCTTTTTCAGAATCACAGTTCCATCCATAAAAGAGTTCTTGTTGGGAATTTAACATGGAGGCACAGGAAAGGGGCCTTTACCTAAACCCAGGGCAGGGATGCTTTTCATAAGACCTCTGTTTTAGGTACTTAGTGCTACTGCACCACCACCAACAACAACAGAAATACTACAAGTAGGTGGTTTGAAGAACAGAAACACATTTTCTCACTCTTCTGGAGATTCACAAGCCCAGGCGCAGTCTGAGCTGTAGAGATTCCTTCTGTGTGGGAGGCCCTGCACAGTCGCCGTCTCCTTGGCTTGAAGAAGAGTCTCACGCTGCATATGTCTCCCACCACTCCGATGTGCTTGCCTGGGTCTAAAATGTTCTTTGTATAACTCCGAAATGGTTAGATTGAAAAGCCCCTCGACTTAGGACATGTTGTCAGGAGAAGCCAATCCCTGGGGAAGGACATTGTGCTGGGTAAAGTAGAGACGCTTGACAACGCAGATGGGCACAGCACCTGCAACCACAGGCTGCAAACATCAGAACAATGTGAGGATGGTGCGGGTCCGGGCAGTGTTTTTTTCTGCTGCACATAGGGCGCTAGGAGTCAGAATCGACCTAACACAACAACAACAACCATTGCCATTTGTGTAGAAAGAGCCCTGGTAGACCCGTGGGTTAAACAGTGAGCAGCAAGCTTGGTAGTTCAAACCCACCAGGCACTCCCAGGGAGAAGGATGAGGCTGTTTACTCTCATGCATAGCTACAGACTCAGAAGCCCTGGAGCACAGTCTCCCCTGTCCTGAAGGATCACTGAAAGTTGCAGTCTGCTCGGTGACAGTGGGCTCGGTTTGGGTTTTGCGTTTCTCCTTGTGTCTAATAGAATTAGCATAGCAAAGAAAACCATATTCCAAACAAGATTACAGCCACAGGGCAGGAGGGGGGATTCGAGCACACATTTTTGGGGTGGGAGGGGTGTCCAAGTAAATCCATATGGAAGGTCTAAGGAATAAAGCTGCTGTCACATTCTTGTGGACACATGTCCTAATTTCTCTTGGGTTAGTCACATTTTAATCCAACTCTCACTTCAGCCATTCACCAGTTGGTGAGGCATCCCGACACTAGGGGGCAGTGGTTCCCTCAGGGTGGGGAGCAAGGCCGCGTGCAGAACTAGGCAGCACAACCTACAGGGTTTGTGCCACGTGAGATGAAAGCCACCTGAAGCTAGCAATTTCATGTTACGTCCTGTTTAATTCTTCGGAGTCCTTTCCCCCCCAAATCATTACCCCCTTGTTTTTACTAACACGATTTCCTACCGAGGATAATCGTGCTAACCTTCCGGTTAAGCCAAAGTTTAAATCATTTAGCAAGTATCACTTGACCTCAGACAAGGGGCCCAGAATGATCCTGGCTGTGTGGGACAGTGGTGGAAGTCGTTGCTGCGGCTGCAGCTGGGGTGGAGGAAGACAAACAGCAAGTGCATGACCTCGTTATCAGGTGATGAGGCTGTAAAGCCCAGCGGCTTGATTGGGAGTCGAGCGAGTGTTCGCCAAGATTGAAACAGGGTCATTCGTGGTTGACTTGGGTTCTTAATCTAGATCAACCTTGACTTTCTGACATACGGTCCTTTTGAGTTTGTAATTTTGTTCTTTAAAAGGACTCCCTTGGCTCCTTCAAAATCAGAAGCCAGCCCTACCTGGCATGAAGTATGTGGGTGAAAATTCCCAACCAGGCCTGGGGGGCAGAAGGGTCGCGGGAGGGATGAAGGCTGCAAGGAGGCAGGCAGGTGTCGGCGCCCAGGGTCTCGGCCTGCGGACAGCAAAGGCTCCCACCTGCCCTAATCCAGGCCCGACGGCGGGGCAGGGCTCCCCCGTGCTTTTCTTCTGGGGTTCAAACAAAGCCACACGACCTGCGAGGCCAGGCGCCCTCAGCAACCGTGCAGAACTGGGTGGTACTGCTGCCCCTGCAGGTCTCCAAGACGGCTGCTCTTTAAGGGAGTAGAAAGCCTCATCTTGCTCCCGCAGAACGCCTGGTGGCTTTGAACTCCTAACATAGTGGTTAGCAGCCTCCTGCGGGGCTCAGAGTGGAATTTAGACGGGATGTGGGCGGGGCTTAAGAGGGCGTTGTCATGACAACCGTGGCTAGGCCACCCTAGACTTCGTCGCGAGCGAGCCCGGAGGCACAGAAGCAGAAGGCAGAGCGGGTTCTTGGTGGACGTTTCTTGTACCCGAGCTCCTGAGGGGACGCGGGCTCTGACCCCGCACCCCCCAACCCCCCACCCCCGCTCTGCCCCGGCCTGGCTCGGGCAGCAAACGCGCCCGAAACCGCTCGGGCTGCAGCCTCTCGTTGGGCCGTGCTGTGTTGGTTTTGCAGCCGTGTGTTTAATTTACTGCCACTGATTGGTATACTTACATGAGGGGCGGGGGGGCTCTGTGAGGGAGGCTCTTTGTTGCAGATCGAAGGAGCTCGCTGTCGGGCTGCTCTCAGGCTCACCTGGAACCTGCAGTACAGGGGCTTTGTCTTCTCGGCGGCGGAGCCATGGGAAGCAAGAAGAAGGAAATCGCCCTGCAGGTAAGCCTCCGCACTTGGGGGGCTTAGAGGAGCGGAGTGGGGCGGGATATTCTGGATCCTACGTGACGATGCTCTCAAGTTTGAGTCTCGTAGTCTTCCTTCCACTCTCTGCCGTCGAGTCTGTTCCACGGCCTAACGACCTTCCGGGCCGGAGTAGAACTATCCCTGTGGGTTTCAGAAACTGTCGGGAGTAGAAAGGCCCGTCCTTTTCCTGCCTCAGATCTCTAGTGATGTCAGGGAATTCTTAAAGCATGGTGAACTTAAGCCCTCCTGACCTGTGGGATGTATAGAACCCACTGACATGTTCAGCCTCTGGCTTCTTGGGAAGCTGCTACCACCAGTGTATGACATGCTGCTCCCTGGCAGGGGCCTATGGGACTGTGTATCTAAAGCTGGCCTCACCCCACCAACCGCCACCATCAGTCCACTTGGGACGTACAGTGCCCCGCAAAATCATACCCAAATCTATATTACCTCCCAAAATGCCACTCAATTGCATTGTGCCTCCTGTTACTGAAAACACATGGTAGCAACAACAACAAGAAATCAGAGCAGAAAGCAATGTGCTCATGAACAACTTACAGAGTAAAACAGAAAAGTAAAATTGAAATGGCCTCTTCAGTGACAAACAAGTTCATCTCAAACAAAACAAAGAAAGGATTAGAGGGAGGTGAGGGGGAAGCAGCATCAGCCTCAAGCTACCAATGCTGAGGGTGGTGAGAGAGCTGTGGACTGGAAGTCAGAGCTGACGTCGGTTGAGGCTCATCTCTTAGCCAACTTTGTGACTTTGGATAAATCCCATCAGCTCCCTGGGCTGCTGCTTCCCCATCCCTAGAATGAAGATGTTGGGTGAGTTTTCCTAAGTGCCTTCAACCTTCCTATTCTCAGACTCTCTAGAGCAGTGGTTCTCAATCTGTGGGTTGAACGACCCTTTCACAGGGGTCACCCGATTCATAAAAGTAGCAAAATGACAGTTATGAAGTAGCAATGAAATAATTTTAAGGTTGGGGGTGGTCACCACAACGTGAGGACCTGTATTAAAGGGTCACGGTATTAGGAAGGTTGAGAACCACTGTTCTAGAGTTAGGAAACATTCCGTGGGCATCTAGTCTATCTCCTAGATTAGTTCCTGGTCCCACCACTTAGTAGCTATATGAGCTATTTCCTCACACTCTCCACGCCCCCGTGTCCTTTGTGTAAACAGGAGAGCACTCCGGTCACCTTCAGACACAGCTTGGCTGGGCTCCGGGCTGCCTGTGCCCTCGCTGACCCGGTTGCCCGGGTGATCATTTGTCTTTCATCTGTCTGTACCAGTGGTTCCCACCCTTCCTCAGGCCGCGACCCTTTCATACAGTTCCTCATGTGGTGGTGCCCCCCAACCATAACATTGTTTTTATTGCTACTTCATCGCTGTCATTTTACTACTGTTATGAATTGGGTGATCCCTGTGAAAGGGTTCCCCAAAGGGGTCGAGGCCCACAGGTTGAGAACGGCCGGTCTATGCCCTAGCTCCCCAACGCACCTGAAAGCTCTTAGGAGGTAGGAAGACTTGTTAGCAATGTGATTACTTTTCCATGCATATTCCTCCTTCTGAGTACGGTTTGATACCCCAAGTGGTGGTGTTAGCTCCTGGGGAGTCAGCCTCTGACTCAGGAAAACCCGTCACAGCAGGTGCAAAAGCCTGTGCCGTAGCCGTTATATCTGAACCGAGAACCGCCGTGAGCCAGGGTGTTCGCACTGGCTGTTCGGAAAGCAGACCTTTCTCCCCAGGCCGTCCTAGTCTGAAAGCTGTCCTGAACCTGTTCAGCATCATAGCCATTGTCCAGAGGCCCAGCCCCCTGAGCTGCTGTGGCTCAGGTGAAGGCAGGTAGGCACCGAGAGTTGCCAGTGACCTAGAGCCTGAAAGTGACGGGGGTGGGAGTCCCTGAAACCTTTCACCACCTTCCTCAGGACTCTAGCTGGACATTCAGGATGACGTCAGTCCAAAAGTTTTCTGTGATACACAACGCAAACACACACACACACACACACACACACACACACACACACACACACACCAGAGCGTCAAAAAGCTAGTGTAAAAATTCCATTATCTTTTCATTTACCCACAGACTTTTTGACACTCTCTTGTATTTGCAAAATCAGGGAAGAATGACATCTTTAAACAGAAGGACCTTTCATAGATGATTTTCCAATGTCACATGTTCCCCATACTTATTGCAGAAATGCATCTTATAAATTTCAAGGGGTGGAGACTTTCGCATAAAGAATTCAGAGCAAATGGCAATTGCTATGGTCTTTCAATATATACAGTTTCAAAGTATTCTGATTCCGAGTGACCCTACAGGACAGAGTAGAGCTGCCCTGTGGGTTTCCGAGACGGTAACTCTTTATGGGAGCAGACAGGCTCATCTTTCTCCTGAGGAGTGGCTGGTGGGTTTGAACTGTCAACCTTGAGGTTATCAGCCCGATGAGTAGTCCAGTCCATCACTGGGGCAACTTGCACATGATGCATATTCACTACAGAGAGGAGAGGAATTTTATACTGGAGAAAACTGACATGCACCACCTCCATCAGTGGCCATCAGTAATGGAGCACATTGTCATGGGGTGTCACCTACCTGATCGGAGGCAGCAAGGGGCTCCCTCTTCATGATGATCAAGTGCGATCTACTCAGGAGGAACCCAAAATGACATGCAAAGTGAAAGACAGTCTAGAAATTGCTGCTGTGTTGCCTACGAAGTGTCAAGTTCATGAAAGCCAAAGGCAGACTGCAGCATTATCCCAAACTGAAGCAGGCTTTGACTTGACCAATGGATTTAGCACCCGATTCTTCATAGATCCTTTTATTCTTCAGGACGTAACTGGTAAAACTTGAGTGGGATTTAAGAATTAGATGGTATTATTGTATCAATAAGGAGCCCTGGTGTCATAGTGGTTATGAGTTGGGCTGCTAACCCCAGGTCAGCAGTTTGAAACCACCAGCCACTCTGAGGGAGAAAGATGAGGCTTTCTACTCCCATGTAGAGTTATAGTCTCGGAAACCCACAGGGGATGTTCTATCCTGTGCTTTCGGGTCACCATGAGTCAGAATCAACTCAAAGGTAGTGAGTTTTTGGTTTTTTGGTTGTATCAATGTTGGTTTCTTTATTGGGATTATGCAGGAGAATGTATTAAAGGGAGATAAGTTATCAGGTTGGCAATTTTCCTTCACATCGTTCAATGAACAAAATATTCTGTATGTTATACTTGCAAGTTTTATGTAATTTTTCTATTTCCAAAAATTATATAAAAATGTATATTGTTATTGGAGAAACCATTCATTTTTCCCCCTCATGTACTCCAGAACATTTCTAGATAGGAGAGGGAAAAAAGTAGAAGAATGGCAATAATTTCAACTCATAACTATTTCTGATATGAATATTGGGATACATTTAACAAAAGACGTGAAAAACTGATACGCTGAAATTGCAAAACATTGCTGAGGAAGACCTACATAAATATAGAAGAACCTCGTGCTTATTGACTGACATCACCAAATTAAGATTTCAGGATTGTTTCCCCCCAAATTAACCCACAGATTCAATGCAATCCCTTATGAAAATCCCTGCTAGTATTTGTAGAAACTGACAAGGTGATAAATGCACGTGGAAATGGGAAGCACCTGAACTCATCACTTTGAAAGGAGGTTTCACACCATCTAATGCCAAAATTTTTTATAAAGCTACAGTAATCAAAACAGTATCATCTCAGCATAAGGACCAATAGGTCAATGAAATAGAATTGAATCTGAAATAAACCTATATTTATGTATTCAACTAGTTTTTCACAAATTTACCAAAGCAATTCAATGGGGAAAGAGAATCTTTTCAACAAATTTTGCAGAAAGAATTGTGTATCTGCGGGGGTGGGAATAATCCCTATCCCCAATCAGCACATATAAAAATGAATTTGAGATGGACCAGAGACTTACATGTAAAAATTAGATTCTACGACCTCTAAAAGGAAACAGAACATCTTTGTGATTTTGAGGTCTGATAAGAACCTTAGAAGAGATACAGAAGGACAAACCTTAAAAGCTATTATTTAGATGGGAAAGTTAAAGTTACCTATGGTCCAAAAAGGGCTGCTGGTGGTGGAAACTATAAAGGGCATGTGGACATTTTGGCACTGACTGTTCAAGAGTTGGCTGCCCTTGAAAAGGAGGCGCGGCCATCCTTCTTACATCTTGGCTACCGTCCTAACCAGCTGTTCAGAACCTTCTGATCTTAACACACACTAAGTAAGGTTTCTGTAATAAAATCCTGTAGTTTCAAAACTCTAAAACAGTTGTACTGCTTCCAAGCAGCAGTATTGATAGTTACTTAAGCTGTCAGTATTAACTCTTGCATGTTGAGAAACATTAGTCTTACATAATTTTTTAAATGGCAGCCTAATGACAATAAATATGATGAATAAATGTTCATGACAGTTCGTGTCTTATTTCAAAGTTAATCTTGAATTTTTTGTGTGTGAATGTAATTTTAAAATGTCACTGAATTGTATACTTAATCATGATTAAAATGGAAACGTTTCTTACCTGTATTTTACCACAATAAAATTTAAATTAAAATTTTAAAAAGCTATTATTTAATAACATTTCATAAAAGAGACTTTATCAACATTTAAAATTTATGTTTATCAGAGACATTGTTATTAAGGAAATTAATAGGCAAACCAAAGATTTAGAGAAAATGTTTGCAATATATCTGATAAAGAACTTGTACCCAGAGCATATTAAAAAGTATGAAAGCCTAATAATAAGAGAAATGATCTTGTGAAGAAAATGGACAAGAAACAAGTGAGCACTACACACAGAAGACATGTGAATGAATGGCTGAAGAGCACTTTGAAAGTGCTCCACCACGCTAGTCACGGGTAAACAAGATGGAAGCCACAGGAGACACCGCTACGCAGCAATCCAGGTGGCTAACAATAAAAAGACTGCCATCACCAAATAGTTGTGAGCATGTGGAGGAACTGGAATGCTTATACTTTGCAGACAAAAGTTGTAATGATCCTACTACCACTTTAGGGAAAGCACTGACTATTTCTTATTAAACTAGACATGCACTTCCCATCTGTCCCAGCGATTTCACTCCTAGGTATTTACTTCCCAAAGAGAAATGAAGGCATGAACAGAAACACTGAACAAGACTGTTCATAAGTCTATATTCGTAGTTGTCTTAATTTGTAAAGAACTCAAAGATTGGTCAAAAGGAGAATAGTTAAGCCGATTGTGATACAGTCGTGCAATGGAGACTCTGCAGCAATAAAAATGAACAAACTACTTGAACTTCAAAAAGAGAAAGTCCCAGATCTTTTGGAACAATAAAAGGAAGAGAGCAAAAAGGCTCTCCCACCAGAAAAGAGACAAAACACTGACTCAAAGGAGAGCAATCAAAAGGAATGGCAATAACCAGTTTCACAGAGGCGGCGGCCATAGGAGGAGCAATATGCCACAGAGAGGTGGTGGAGATGGTGGAATCAGCTATGCATAACCCCCCTCCCCGCAGGGCTCTGTGTTTCCAAGCGGAGATGGTTATTCAAACACGGAACTACAGCAGAGGTGGAAGGTCCAACAGACAAAACTGTAATCTGGACGTCAGACCCAAACCAAACTCCCTGCCGTTGAGTCAGAGAGACCCTGTAGGGCAGGGTGGGGAGGGTGGAACTGCCCCTGTGGGTTTCCGAGACTGTCACACTTTATGGGAATAGAAAGCCTCATCTTTCTCCAGAGGAGCAGCTGGTGGTTTCAAACTACTGACCTTGTGATTAAGAGCCCAGTTGGAGTAACCAACTACACCACCAGGGCTCCCTCCTATCAGAGGACGAAGAAATAATCGTGGCTACAAAAACCAATCGACTCTGGATGGCAGGAGGCTATGGATGACAGTGGAAGCCCAAAATACATTTGCAAGATTTACACAGGAAATAAGCCGCCAGTGATTTCCCCAAACCCACATTGAGGGATGGGAATAAACTGGTTACCAAACAGGGAGTATTGGAGAGATGAGTATCGTAGATCAAAATGATGAACCTGATTTGATGGCTGAAACTTTGTCCCTTGGTCTCCCCTCTGATACCCTTTTGGACTAGCTCCAGGTTTCAATATTTTCTGTGTTTTTCCTCACATTAGGGTTTACCTTTGATGTTTCTGTCATTCTGGGCAGCCTTTTTGAATCTTTGTGATGTGTTTTTCTGGGGGGTTTTCTTTTTCTTTTGGTGTATGAAACCCAGGATTGATGAAGCTGTAGAGACAACAAGTAGAGTAAGGGTCCCTGGGGGTATAGTGGGGTGGTGGGAGGTGGGAGGACCAGATATCAAGGAATTCAAGAAGGAAGAAAATGCTTTAAATTGATTGTGGCAGCAATTGTACAATACTGCTTGATGTGATTGAGCTATGGAATGGTATGGTGTCTGCACCAGCTCCTAGTAAAATGGTTTGAAAAAAAAAAATCAGTCTCAGAGTGACCACCAGGGGCAGCAGGGCCAATCCTTGGGTCAGAAGCCTTTGAGTCAGCATTATCACCAAGGATATTATCCAATCCACAAGTAAAATGAACTAGTATATATTTCTCAAGAGAAAGAAAATAGAAAAAAATGAGCAAAGTACCGATACACACAACTGCACAGATGAATCTCAAAAATATTCTGGGCTGAAGAAGCCAGCAGAAAATAGTGGTTGCTGTGTTTCCCACGACTGGATGTTTTAGAGTCAGCATAACTACTGTGAAAAGAAAATCAGTGTTTCCTTGGGTGAGGGCTGGTGGATTGATTAGGAAGAGACGCAGGGGACCATTCTGGGGGTCGAAATGTCTGATATGGTGCTAAAGGTTGTGTTTTGGTCAAAACTTATTTGATTGTAAGACTTTGGCTCTGTGTATTTCACTGTACATATATTATATCTCAACCACATGTGTAAAAATATCAAGATGGAAACATTAGTATTTCTGGGAACATAAACACAGATAAGTGTCAAAAGTTAGTGGTGGAAAAAAAAAGTTAGTGGTGAGTGAGAAGACAAATTGTCAACGTTTACCTACTATGAGAGACAATGGCGGATCCTGGGAGGGGTGGGTGCAGGAAGAGAGGGCAGAGCAAAGACTGAGGGGAAGGGTGGCTTGGGCTGGACCAGGGCCTCCTTCAGCAGGAGCGAGAGGTCTGGCGCACACACATTCAGTGATCTCCCCGCAGTGCCCTCACTGACGACACTTCTGATCCTCTCTGGCTTTAGGTCAACATCAGCACCCAGGAGCTCTGGGAGGAGATGCTCAGCTCCAAAGGACTGACTGGTAATTTAGTCACTTTCCAATCCATGCGCTTTCATGTTGTTAAAAGGCATCCTGAGCCAGGAAGAGAACTACAATGAGCACTATTTACCTGTACCTTTATGGACATAAAGAACCAGGTGATTTCTTTTGACGTGAGTGTGTGCCTGTGTGTGGAACTTCTGTCAGTAAATTAACCCAGGTGACCAGGTTCCCTTGTCTGGGAGCTGGCTGTCAGACTCAGAGATTGTTTGGTATTAATAACCGAAACCTCTGTTCATTACCTTAGGCATGAAAGAGGAATGTATTGGAAGGAATACCAGGAACTCTTGGGGCTCAAGAGTTGGACAGAAAGCCAGGCATCGAGAGAGACTGGAGCCTGGCCTGCCACAGCCCTGAGCCTTGTCCATGAGCCTCCTCACGTATTCGTTGGCCTTACATCAGTCATCCAGGGCTGCCTAACAATTCCCCCCAAACGCAGTGACTTTAGACAACAGACGCTTGCCAGCCCAGTGTCTGTGCATCGGGTGACTGTTGAATGGCCTTGGCCGAGGCTGAGCAAGGGGCCAGTCTGCTGCCAAGCTCAGGCATGTGGTGGTTGGCAAACGTCAAGTGCTCAGTGGCTGTAAAAAAGGACCATTTCTCACCATCAGTGTCTCTGTCAGACACTCACAACACTGCTCCTGGCTTCCCCGGGACACAAGGAAGCGGGAAAGAGAGAGAGGGCAGAGCCGTGTAGTAACTCCATCGCAAAGGCACACCCCATCCTTGCTGCTATAGTAGAAGGCAACGCGGAGATTTCACAGAGGCGGGATTCGACCAGGAGGAGGGAATGACTGAGGCTGAGGGCTCCCTAGAGGCTGCCCCTCACACCCCGCCTCTCCCAGTTCCTTCGCATTTCAATTTACTGTAGACTCTCTAGGCGCCCTGGCGGCACAGTAGAGTACAAGCTGGGCTGCTAACTGAAAGGTCAGCAGTTCAAAATCGCCAGCCACTCTGCGGAAGACGGGCCTGTCTACTCCCGGAAAGACGCACAGTCTAGGGGCAGTTCTGCCCTGTCCTATAGGGTGACTGAGTCAGTACTGACTCCATAGCAGTGAGTTTGGTCTTGGTAGACCTCTCGGGGTCTGTTTCTCTGCTTCTGCGCAATCCCTCCTCTATCGACACCCCTCTAGTCTGCTTGTGTCGTCTTTCTAGCCCCGTCACCACTGTTGCCCGAGGTACGCTGTAAGCTTCAGCCTGTTTCCCGTACATGCTACAGGTTTACCTAGTTCTTCCTCCACCTGGACTTTCAAACTTCTGAGCTGCTGCAGCTCAGAAGCAGTCTCTTGAAAGCTTTCCTGAGCCTCTGTGTCAGTGGTTCTCACCCTTCCTAGTGCCGCGACCCTTTCACACGGTTCCTCATGTGGTGGTGACCCCCAACCATAAAATCATTGTCATTGCTACTTCATAACTGTCATTTTGCTACTGTTATGAATCAGGTGACCCCTGTGAAAGGGTCGTTTGAACCCCAAAGGGGTCACGAGCCACAGGTTGAGAACCGCTGCTCTGTGTGGTCCTATCCCCTGAAAGCCCAAGGGCATTGGCAGTGGGCCTCCATCATGCCCATCCTTCCCTGGCCTGGGGAGGCCCGCCTGGTAAGCACCGCCAAGGCTTCCCCACCAGACAGGGACAGCAGCCTTTTCACTGTGTGTCCTTGATATCCTTGCCCCAAAGAGGGGCCACATGGTACTAAGTAAACGCCGATCAGTTGTGTGGGTGTGTGGGCACACTCTACTACACGAGGGATGGTGTCCTGTGCGACATGATTTCCACGTGTCTTGTCTGTGCCACTGTTGCTGCTGCTGCTGTTAGGTGCCAGTGAGTGGGTCCTGACCCACAGTGTCCCCGAGACACCGCCGTCCTGAGCCATCTTCACAATCATTCCTATTCCTGAGCCCACTTGTTGCATCCGTGGTGTCAGTGCATCTCCTTGAGGGCCTTCCACTCCTTCGCTGCCCAGCACTTTACCCAGCACGATGTCCTTCTCCAGGGACTGGGCTCTCCCGACGACATGTCCAATGTTTGTCAAAGTCTCTCCATCCTTGCCTCTAAGGAGCACTCTGGCTGTACGTCTTCCAGGACAGATTAGCTTGTCCTTTCAGCAGGCCACGGTACTTTCAATATTCTTCTCCAGCACCACCGTTCAAATGCAACCAGAACGCGGCTTCGGCGTGAACCAAACCATTTCTTCTAGTTCCTTTAGCAGCAATAGTGAAACCACCACCCATCATTTGCTGAGACTCTGCTGTGTGCCACCCTGCTAAGCTCCCTGTGATCCAAGCTCTAAGCCAAGCCCTGCTCTTGGCAGTTCAAGGACATTTGCTGACTGAAGGCAGGAGGGGTGCGCCCCTTGGTCTCCGGGGAAAGGAGCGTGTGCCCTGCCCTGACTCGACAGCCAGCAGAAACTTGCTGCCAAAGCCAACCACCACCAGGGAAGTCTCGTTTCTGCTGGCACCTTCTCATCTGCCATGCAAGCCTGTTCAGATGGACAAACACACCCACACACGTGACACTTTGTCTCTGCCGTTCTTACAGGTGTCTTTGCTGGTTTGTTCCCTGACTTTCAAGTTTAAGCTCTTACTATATTTCCTTTCCAGTCTCTCCTAATGCTCACTGCCCCACCCTCTCCTAACCCTGTGAAGTGTACCTGTGGCTCCACCACTCAGAGACTGGGTAGAGCAGTGGTTCTCAACCTTCCTAATGCCACGACCCTTTCATACAGTTCCTTATGTTGTGGTGACACCCCAACCATAACATTATTTTTGTTTCAACTTCATAACTGTAATTGTGCTACTGTTATGAATCAGGCAAACCCTGTGTAAGGGTCATTAGACCCCCAGAGGTTGAGAACCGCTGGGGCAGAAGAAGGCCTGGGAAGCTTGGGTGAAGTGACTATTCATGCAAATCCTGCATGGAGCTCTTGAGCTGATTGGTCCCCCATTTTGTTCTCTAGGGTTCAAACCTTCCCTTCTCGGTCAGTGGTCTTGTGTGCAGGGCCCTCTAGTCTCCAGGGACTTCTTCCTGACTTGATCCTGTGACCGGGAGGAAGCTCAGAGTTTCCAGCCTCTCCACTCCTTGTTCTTGTCCCACTCGCAAGAAAGATTTCAGGCAAGGGACAAAAGTCAGAGAAAAGTTAGACCAGAAAGAGCAGTTCATTGAAGGGGAATACTTTGTAAAGAAGTCCCAAGGGCCCTTAAACTCGCTGCCAGCTAGTCCCTGCGGACTCACTGCAACCCTAGAGGGCAGGGTAGAGCTGCCCTTGTGAGTTTCTGAGACTGTTTACAGGAGTAGAAAACCTTGGAGAGGCTGGCGGTTTCAAACTCCTGACTTGGCAGTTAGCAGCCCAACTCGTAACCACTAGGACACCTAGCTAATCTAAAAGTCCTGGCAAATGTAAAGCTGACTAGCTAACAGTCCCAATGTCTTTCTCAGCCTCCACCCAGTACCTTTGCAAGCAGATGTCCTGGCAGAACGTGAAGCATTATACTCTGCTAATGGCAGACTTCCACCACACGCTGGCTTTATAGTGGGTCTTCCGCTATTGACTAGTCCCCTATAGTGAACCTCCTCTTTTCAGGTGTGTGAATTCTGGCTCCCCAGTACCATAGCACCCCATGCTCCATGCTATGCTCTTGTCTCAGACCCAAAACTCAACAGTCTATTCAGTCAGCAAGGGGTTGTCGTAACCCTGCCTTCCCCAGCCGTCTCACCATCGCCAGTATCTCAGAGCGCTTCCATTGATAAGGAAATATGGTTTTTTAAAAAAATCATCTTACCGGGGGCTCATACAACTCTTATCACAATCCATACACACATCAATTGTGCAAAGCACATTTGCACATTCATTGCCATCATCATTCTCAAAACATTTCCTTTCTACTTGAGCCCTTGGTATCAGCTCATTTTCCCTCTCCCTCCCTACCCCCTCCCTCATGAACCCTTGATAACTTATAAATTATTATTTTGTCAGGTCTTACACTGTCCGACGTCTCCCTTCACCCACTTTTCTGTTGTCCATCTCTCAGGGAGGGGATTATATGTAGATCATTGTAATCGGTTCCCCCTTTCTACCCCACCTTCCCTCCACCCTCCCAGTGTTGCCCCTCTCACCACTGGTCCTGGGGGGCTCATCTGTCCTGGATTCCCTGTGTTTCCAGTTCCTATCTGCACCAGTGTACATCCTCTGGTCTAGCCAGATTTGTAAGGTAGAATTGGGATCATGATCATGGGGGCAGGAAGCATTAAAGAACTAGAGGAAAGATGTATGTTTCATCGTTGCTATACCGTACCCTAAGATAAGGAAATCCGTTTTATTCTGCTCTTTGCCATGCTTTGTGCTGCAGGGTACGTGTAGAAGTCTGTCCCCACCTCGCTTCTGTGATAAGATTCCTGCCTATGCCCTTCCAGCATCACCTGGTCGCCTCAGGCCAGCCTCTGACTAGCTAGCAATACCAAAGTCTTTTGCAGCCTCCACCCAATACCTCTGCAGGTAGAGGGTGTGAAAAATGTACCAGGCTAGATTTTGCCAGCATGGTGGGTGCTGGCATCCTGCTGCATATCCCTGCTTCTTGGTCCCACAGTTGTGGATGTCTATCAAGGGTGGTGTGGCCCCTGCAAGCCTGTGGTGAGCCTGTTCCAGAAGATGAGGATGGAGGTTGGCCTCGACCTCCTGCATTTTGCATTGGTAAGATTCTTTCTCAGCAAAAAACATCACACAACACCTAAAGGAAATGGAAAGTTGTATAAGCAGCAAGGAACAGGACGTATGAGCTACCCTCTTCAGATCATGAGGCGGCGGCAATGGTGGGTGGTTTGTTGGCATGTACTGTGATGCTTTAAAATGTCTCTAGCTATGGAGCTAGCCACCCACCATCCACGCCCTCCCCCTGGCTCGGGCATCCTTTTGATGTGTACCAGGGGGAATATGTGTTGCGCAAATGCATGTGCTCGCTCCATAGGCTTGAGGTTCACAGACAGCTTGGAGAACGAGGAAAATGAATGTAGCTCACACTAATCTCTCATGACGTTTTGTCAGAGGAAACCAGCCTCTAACAACCGCAGGGTCCGAAGGCGCCATTGTATGGTGATAATATATAAAGGTCATAGGAAAGTCATAGAAGCTAGGAGAGAGAATAAAATAGTCAGACACATTTCATGGTAGCATACTCACCTCAGCCCTCCTTGGTGGTCCACATGGAGGTAGGAGAAGAGAGCGAGTCTTTACTATCTTGGGATATTTATAGGTAACCACAAGACATGTATGTTCAGTAGTTACATATGTCACAAGGTGGGTGTTAACTACAGTCAGGTCTCTGAGCTCACAGGTGAGGAAATCTGATACCTGTATTGGGGGAAGGTAGGAGGGGGGCTGGGTGCTGCAGGGTGGTGGTGGTGGTGGTGTGTGTGGGGTGGGGTGGTAGAGTGGGGGAAAGGAAGGAGGCGATAACAAAAGAAGCCGGCTTCTACAGGGAGATATCATCAACCATGTGCTCATGTTAAGGCAGCATAGCGGTTAGGGGAGAATCTATGGGAATGATATTTAAAGCAGGATCATGTACTTGGACTTTATTTCTAACTTACCAAAGTGGTGGCTTTCCTACCGTGGAATACTAGCTTTCCGGATTCACTCTGTTATAAGTTAGGGAATATAGTCCTAGTCATATTTCCCTCAGTGTTAGTTTCCCACAAAGTTTCTCCTCAAAGACTTCAAAATTCCACCCTTGAGAGCCAGCATGGAGGCTTCTGTAGTTAGTCTGCTGGGGACATGGTCTGGTAAAGGCTCTGTGAGGTCCACGGACAGTGACTTCTCAGATTGGAAGGCGCTGGCCATTGGTACCCAGTAGGATGTTAGACAGGGCAGCCCCCTGGTACCAGAGGGACCACTGGGTAGAGAGTGACGGGGCTTGGGTCCCGCCTCATGGCACCCTGTCAGTAGTTTTGAGGAACAGGCTGACAGGACATTTGTTACACTTCAGACGAAGGCAGCAGGTGGGGATTTCAGCGAGCTGGGCGGCCATGAAGAGTGAGTTTCCCTGTGCAGGCTCCTTGCTGATCCTGCCTCTGTGCCCACTGCGCCTCAGGGTGGCTGCTGACTCTTGGTTTCTTTAGGCAGAAGCAGATTATCTTGACGTCCTTGAAAAATACCGCGGGAAGTGTGAGCCAACCTTTCTGTTTTATGCGGTAAGTACGTTTGCAGAAGCAGACTTGTGGACAGTGGCAAATGCAGCTAGGCACATCTCATGGGCATTGATTTCCCCCTGGGAGTCCCCACGAGACCTCGCTGAGCCAAACAGGTACTGCCGTTTTCTCTTAACTGTGTTTTTCAGTTTGTCCACAGGCACGTTGTCCCCTATGTCTGTGTCGCTGAGTGGGGACAGGGAGCGGGATGATGCCACTCCCGAGGGGCAGGCTGGGCTGGGCAGCCTCTCAGACTGGACTGCAAGTCACTCAAATGCGTGTGCCCTTGGTGCCGGGAGCTCTCTTGACTGGAGGCCTGCTCTAGAGCTCGGGCTTCCGTACTCGCCCCACACAGGGGGACTGTTAGCCAACAGGACCACTCCTATACATGCACATTTATCCACTCAGAAAATGTGGACATTGCTGCTAGACAGTCAGACCCGAGAGAAACTATTGTGGAAAATCATAATGGCTCGGTGGTTTTGAAAACGTATTTGAATGTCCGTGGTATGCAGTCCACGTTCTGCTTCCATGCCTCTCGGGGCCAATCGCCTCCTAGCTGCCCTTCCTAGACTTGGGCGCCTGCCAGGCCTCCTGAGCCCTGCATTGTGAAGGCAGAGAAGGCATTTGGTCACCCAGGTCCCCTGGTAACCAGGCTGAGTGGTTTTCTTCAGCTTCCTGCCCCTTCAAACTGAAAAGATTATGAATTAGGAGCTGTGTAAAACAAACATTAGTTGAGCTTCAGCTTTCAGTAGGAAAACAAAGGCTTTTCCCGCCAACAGTTTTACTGACATATAATTCAAAAATCACACAATTCAATAGTTCAAGCACATCAAGAAGAGTTGTATAATATAACCACAATCTGTTCATAAAACACTTTCTTCATTCTTGTACTCATCGATATTAGCTCCCCATTTCCCTCCAAGGAACCCATTCATTCAGTTACCATCTCTATAGGTTTACCTATCCTGCATCTCATATGCAGAACACATTCAAAACACAACCCGACAACAGCAACAACGAAGTAACAAAATAAAAGGTGGACACCTCACTCAGAGAGAACGCAGAGCGTGTGAAAAACCAGCGCATGCAGTATGTGACAAAGCAGGAGAGGGGAGGGGGTGGGGGGCACGGAGGGAAGGAGGAAGGCTGGGAAGGCGCTCAGAGAGGTGGCAGGTGGCTGTGGGGCGTTACCCCAGGGGTCTGATAGCTTGGGCTCTGTGGTGATTGCAGCACAAGTGGTAATGGCCAGAGTGGGATCACTCAGCAGGCGCCAGCCCCGCCACTGACTCTGGGGCAGGGGTGCAGAATGGAGTAGACAAGGAAAGAGGACCCTACTCTAGCTGAGCGTCTCCTCTCCCAAAGTACAGGGAGCAGACAATACAGTTTAGTTAAAGCAGGAAACTCAGGCTCACCGTAAACACCGCTCCTGTGACTCCCAGCCGGAGGGCGAGGCGGCATCAGGGCTTGCTGTGTCCCCAGCCCTGTCATTCCCCCATCAGATCAATGGCTCTTTCCCGCCCGGCTCTCTCCCACATTCTTGGAAAGCAGTGGTTGTCCTGTGACCTGCATATTGTTTGACTCAGATTGGTTGCCGGGCATACAGTCAGTCTTCCATGAAACATTGTAAGCCACACTTGGTTGCCCACAACGCACTAGCACCATGCCCCCTTAACTAGCTGCCAGTTGCCCCGAAGGGCGTTTTTTGAAAGGAAGGTCATGAGGAAGAAGAGAAAGTCCAGTAAGGGGCATGCAGGTCTGAGGGTGGTCTTCCATGGGAGAGGGGGGTCCCTGGAGGTGGCAGCTGTGTGTGTGTGGGGCGGGGTTGGGGGCTGTCTGGAAAGGGATAGTGGAGCCTGGGACCTAGGTCCAGGGAGCCGACCTTGGGCAGGCTCTAGAGGACACGCCTGGCCATACTTGCAGGCAGCTGGAGAGAGCTCCCTGGGGTGTCTCGCTCTCTGTGTGCTTGGCACCGGCTCAGTCTGGGCGGATGCAAAGTGAGGGGTGGGACCGGTAGTCAACACCGGAGTTATTCGGTCCCTGAGAAGACATGCACCTCGCTTGCGGAGATGCTGCTTAACCCGGTGGACAAAGCTGTGCTGATGAGAGCAGCAATTACGCAAGGGCTGACAGACACTAGAGAGAAGGAAGGCCGTAAACATTGCTGAGAGCTAACTCCACTGACCGTGGCTGGGGACCCCAGAAAGACCAGCACCGCAGGTGATGGAGCAGGGCGGGACAGTGGGGACCCGGGCTCCCCTATTGGGAGGTGCGCCCTCTGGCCCACTGGGCCTGCCTTCGAGATGGAGTTAGATGGTGCGGCCCTGCGCTTCTATTTTGGACCCCAGTGAGCCTGGCCAGAAACGAGAAACCCGTTTCTGAAAATAATACCCCTTAATAGTGAAAGCAAGGTTCAGGTAGTGGGGCTTCAGAACGTTGTCGAAAAAGAAGAGTTAAGAGAGTGGAGTTTTCCCACGATGTGTTGCCGCTCCTCGGGCGTGAGAGGGCTGCGCGCGCTGTGACCGGCTTGTCATTTTCTAGGGAGGCGAGCTGGTGGCCGTGGTCCGGGGGGCCAACGTCCCACAGCTGCAGAGCACCATCCGCGACCAGCTGGCGGCGGCGGCGAGCGCGCTGAGCCCAGGCCCAGAGCGCAAAGCGGTAAGGGGCCGTGGTACCCGCCCGTGCTGCCTGGCAGACCCCACATGTCCTGGGGTGTCCATGGAAAGACTCCTCCCATGGCCTTCGCTCCTGTCTTCGAGCTCGAGGAGGGCACACAGCCCACCTCCAGGCATAAGCATTTTGAAGTCTTTTTTCATAAAAAGAAAAAAAAAGTCTCCCCTTCACCCAGACCCGTAATTTACCCTTTTGGCTTTCACGTCTGACTGCAGCTCTTGACAGGGATTCGGAGAGGGACACGGGAGTGGGTGGGGAAGTCGGTGACCCAGGCGCCCCTCAGTCTCGCTGTGAAGTCTCAGTGGCGGACCCTCCCCTCACATTCCGCAAGGTTTTATGTGGAATCTTAACGTAGAAATGAGACCCTGTTGTTACCAGGAGAAACAGAATTCGCAGAATTTTTGACTTTATTTTCATGATAACCTAGATTACAAATTTCCCCCACAAATTATCATCTGTCTCTACCGCCCCTCACTCCCCACCCCTTTTGCCCTCTCACTCAAATGATCAAGGTCACCAATTCCATCCAAGCTGCTACACCAAATAACCCCTGTCAGTCAGAAGTCATCTCGACCTCTCCCTTCGTGGATTTGCTCCTTTCTTCTGGAAATGCTTACTTCTGCCTGCTGGGACACCACCCACTCGGGACTCGGGACAAGCCGAGCAGTGTTTGAACTTGGGGTCCCACTTGATTCATGTCTTTAAATTCCATCTCTACACCAACGACGGCATGTATAGGCCCAGGCTTCTGCCCTGAACTCCAGGCTGAACTCATTGTGCCTATTTTAAGTCTCACCCACTGCCGTCAGGGTAACTGACTCTGACCGATAGTGACCATAGAGGACAGGGTAGAACTGCGCCTGGGGGTTTCCGAGGCTGGAAAACTCGTTACAGCGCAGGAAGCCTCAGCTTTCTCCTGAGGAGTGGCTGGTGCTTCCAAACTGCTCACTTTGGAGCTATCAGCCCCGTGCTGAACCAATCCACCCCAGAGTTCCAAGCCTCACCGTGGCTGGATATTAGGTGTCTCACCTGACCTCGTCCTGAGCCCCAATCTCTCCTCTCAGAACATTCCCCATTTCCTTACAATGCAGTCCCTCCACTTCTTAAAAATTTTTGTTGTGAACTGAGTGGTTTATGAAGCAAACCAGTTTTCCATGTAATAGTTCGAACACATTTTGTTTCATGTCATTGGTTGCATTCTCCATGAGACATCATGTATCCCACTTCTGCCCCGTGTTTCCTGTTCCCATTTCTCCTTTCCGCATCCTTCTGAACTCGGTCCCTGTGTGATGCTGCCCTTTTATCTCAAATGCTTGATGATTGTAAGGCACGTGCTTAGAGTCACTCAGATAGTAACACATATACTGTGAGTTCACTTCCAAATCTGACGGTGGATCAGGACCATAGTCTCGGGGTCCCACTGATCTCTAACCAATCATGAAGCCTAATATTGTTTACGGCGTTGACTTTTCAGAGCAGTGAAGAGTGGTAACTGGGCACCATCTAGTTCTTCTAGTTTTGGGATTATGGAGGCTGATGTTTTTAGATTTCATTACTCCAGTGGATTAGTTGTTTCCATGCACCATCAATTTTCTCCACACTTCTTTTTCCAGAAGGGGAGAGATCAATTGTTGTGCTTCATGAGCTTTTAAGACTCCATCACTACTCACCAATGTAGCATATGGAATCTTGTCTCTGTGGACTATGTTTTGTCAATTGACCTTGTTCCCTCACCCGCACCCCCCCAGATCAAAGTCCTGAGCCTGCAGGCTCTTGGCTGTCTTTAAATCCAACCTTCCTGAGGCATGGAGAAGGGTTTCCTGGCATGCTGTGTACCTGCCAGGTGAGCCTTAGCCTTACTTAGCTTTCCATATTTGACTCCAAATAGCAAAACCGATTTTTAATAGACTGGGTTAGGGCCAAACCTTTTTTTGATTTCCCCTAAGAAAACTAGCTGCTTTCCCACCAAGTAAGAAGTGTTAGTCCTTCAATGTCACCTGCCTCCTCTCGAGGAATCTTCTCTCACTGCTTCCCTGTACTTGGCAGGCACTGTTTCATACATCACTTGCATTTCTAGTATTCCTCTGCCACCTTTGGGGTATCCGTCTTCTTGCCAGTTCTCCATCTATTTCGTCGGTATTTTCCCTTAGCTTCTACTTGATGTTCGTTAAGGATCAGGAAGGCGCTAGAGCTTGAGACCAGCATGGGTTGACTTTCCTTCTGATTCATCACCCTTCACCATCACCGAACTCCGCAAAAGGATCTTTGTGAAGTTCCCAGACTCTCGTCATCCTGACCCCTTTTCTGCTCCGTAGTTTGGCTCTTGACTTCTGTCGTTTCTGAAGGTCTTTCTGAGCATTTTAATTAGCTCACAACTTTCTGTTCATACCAATTTGTCCTAGATCAGAGATGAGGCGCTTGCTGAGGAAGGTGAATGTTTTTCCCGTGTAAAGGACGACGGTGAAGATGAGGACGTGGGTGAGTTCAGAACCAGTGAGCAAGGTAAGAAGACAAAGGAGACTCCAATTCCCTGTGGGCTTTCAAAGAGAAGTGCAGCCAGTCTCCTGAGCAGGGTGAATCGATCTCCACACGCTGTCTTGCATCCGGTCTTCTGACCTGAGCACAGTGTCAAAGCTCCCTCTTGCCCTCTGGGGCCCTTGGGAGCACATTTTACAGCTTTCTGATCATGGTCAAATCTAGCAAGTGTGATTCAATGGCAGTTTGGGGGCACAAGAAAAACTGCACTTAGTAGAATGGAACATAGCAACACCACTCATTTAACAGCACCACAATGGTATTTCCTTGGGGCTTCTCTGGTCTAAAGATCCCAAATTGCTTCCTCACCTTCTCTCAGAAGCATCAGACAGTCAGGTGTACTTTCCCAAAAGCACGCTATAAATTCAATGCAAGTCTGATCCAGATCCCAGCATAATTCTTCCAGACATTGAAAAGCTTATCATCAATGTTATGTGGAAAGGAAAGAAACCCAAGATAAATAAAACACTATTAAAAACAAAAACAAAATAGGAGGCTTTTCACCCCCATATTTTAAAACCTACTGTCTAGCCACGGTAATCAAATCCACATGGTATGGGGCAATGATAGACAGGAAGACCAATGGATCAGAATTGAGAACCCAGAAATATGATCAAGCATCTATAGAAACTAGTCTCCAATAAAGGACTAACATACAGTAAGTGGGCGAGAGTCTTCTTGATAAATGCTGTTGGAAAAATTGGATTTTCACCTTTAAAAGAATGAAACAGGATCCATACCATAAACCATGTAGAAAAATGAATTCAAAGTGTATTAAAGACCTAAATGTAAACCCTTGGACTGGTGGGGGAGGGAGTGAGAAAGAGAGAGGGGCTTATACCAATGACTCAAGTGGAAAATGTTTTGGAAATGATGACAGCAACATGTATAAATACGCTTGATACAATTGATGTATGGGATGTTATAAGAGCTGTAAGAGTCCCCAATAAAATGATTTTTTTAAAAAACCCCAAACCTCGAACCATTAAGACCATCAACGAAATAAAAAGACAAGCTTAAAGGCCCTAATAATACAAAGCATAAATATACTATGGAACACAGTGAAAAATACCCACACTAGAGACAACAAAATAGAGGACCGAGACCGTCTACAACTATGGCATTGCACACAGCAAAAGACTCGGTCAAAAAGTTAAGAGAGAACCTACGGATTGGGAAAAATATTTAGCAATGATATATCAGATAGAGGGCTAATTTTAAAAATTCTAGAGAAGACTACACCACCATGATAAGAGGAGCAAAAAATAAATACATAGCTAAGTAGGAGTGGAAGGGCAGTCCACAGACAGAGGGAGAGGCTGAGCAGCCACAGGAGTGACAGGAGGGGCCAGGCTTGGGCTGCATGCTTCTGGCCCCTCCTCACCGGGCCGACTCCATCAGCTGATTCTGGCATTTCTTCCTGAGCCATCTTCTGGCAGCTCCCGTTTCAACTGAAGTTCATTGAGCCAGACTGCTCCTCACAGCCAGGTGGAAGTCAAGGTCTGGAGCCTGGCCATCTACCCATCAGAGTCAGGGGCGGCAGCTCAGAGGCCAGTGGAGGAGCCAGGGAGCCAGGGCTGTGCCTGGCACTTGGTTGTCCCTGTGGATGACCTTCATAGAACCTCAGGGGGCGCCGAGAGCCCAGCATCCACAGCACCGTCCCTTGGCTTTTCTCAGTTTCATCGGGAAAGACTTGTACCTTGGCCATCATTAAACCCGACGCAGTGATGCACGGAAACTCTGAGGAGATCGTCATGAAGGTAAGGGAGCCAGCCCAGCGCAGGGCTCACCTGTGTGCCTGTCTTCATTGCCATGGCTTCTCTGTTGGTGGGTTCTCATGCAAGGGGCTGTGGTGGTGGAAGAAAGAGGCCTCTGAGGAGTGCTCGCGGTTTAAGGGAATACTGTTAACTCTGGTTGTGATGGGTGCCTTGCTGATAAGGGGTTGTGATGGGTGCCTTGCTGATAAGGGGCCCCGCAACTTTTATTGATACTTAGGATGAACTGAAGCTGGGCGAGTACCCTTGTGGGACTCCTCTATGTGTGTCAATATTCCCACAGATTCAAGAAACCGGGTTTGACATCTTAACCAATGAAGAGAGAACCATGACGGAGGCAGAAATGCGGCTCTTCTACCAGCACAGAGCCGGAGAGGTCAGGTTCACTCCCCACTGGCAAGCTCCCACATCTTTCTTCCTCCAGCACGGTGCCTAAGGATTGGTGTTAGCTGGACCGAGAGTAGGTTATGATGGAGAACTAGCATCTAGACAAGCGGGCCATGGATTTGCTCACAGGATGCTGGTTGTAGGTAGGGCCAGGTAAAGTTCTTTGGCGATAAGAAAAAGCATTTTGACTCTAAGTACGAAATAAGGGATTATTAGAAAGACCCTCTCTAACTCACAGAATTGGGAGAGGCTGGGGGCATGGAATGGAGAGTGTAACAACAAGGTTTGGGGAGAAAAAGGTCCAAGAAGTTTGTAGGGATCACAAATGGGAAAATGCAGACCCAGCCCCGGTCCATTTGATACAGCTACACCGTATCTACTGGGGGAAGAGACTGGTTGACCTGGCTCGGGTCAGTCACAGCTCTTGGGTTGGGGGGAGGTGTGCATGAGCTACTTTCGGGGCAGGATATCATGGACATCAAACCAGGAGCAAGTGGAATGGGAAGGGTTGCTCCCTAAAGTAAACGAGAGGACTGGAACTTGGAGAAGGGAGGAACAACTGCAAGACCTTGCGAATAAATGAACAAAGACCGAGAACTGAGGTTGCAACTCTCTTCCAACTGCTTGCTTCCCCAGCGTCCACACAAATGATTTCTTTCTGCAGTGACACGGAACCAGAGCGCAACAGGGCTCCCTGGTCCTGCCAGGTCTCAGAGGTTTCGCCTCTGATGGGCGCAGTGCTACCACCTTTCTATTGCGTCTTTTGTGGGAAATACTTTTCTTTCTGACAGGTTTCCTCTTTACACAGGTGCTGGCTTCTGCAGTTTTTATTGTCCATAGACTTTTTAATAAGGAGCCATGGTTAAGTGCTTGGTTGCTAAGTGAAAGGCCAGCAGTAGCTTTGCAGGAGCAAGATCCGGGGATCTCCCTCCTTAAATAACCATGGCAATCCCATGGTCATTATCAGAGGTCATTAGGAGTCAGAGTTCAAGAAGCCCAGGTCGTGCAGTGAGTAGGTTGTGTTGGGCTATTCACTGCAAGGGTGGAGGTTCAAACCCATCAGCCTCTTCTCAACACACATGAGGCCATCTGCTTCCATAAAGATTTAGTCTAAAACTCTCAGGAGCAGTTAAGCGGCTAAGTGCTCAGCTACCAAGTGAGAGGTCAGCAGTTTAAACCCCTCCTCCTCTCAGCAGGTCGACACCCATAAAGGTGACCCTGAACACTCTACTCACTGCCATTCTGTCCTCACGGGGAGTCTGTTCCAACCGGTGGCAACAGCCTTGGGAGCCTATGGGCAGTCTCGCTCTGTCCTACAGGGCCACTGTGGATCAGAAACAGCCACAGCACACAACAATGCGAGTCCAATTGACTCAGCTGCAGCGGGCTTTGGGTTTTGTTTTGCTTGTGCCTTTTTAATGCACTTACCTAATAGTCATTTCATGTTCAAATCCAAATGAGGCAAACAGAAGTCGTGTTCCCCCCAGCCTCCTTAACCTATAACTTAAAAGGTTGATAGGAGAATTCTATGGAAACTTCCTTGAGTTTCCGCCCCACCCCCTACCCCTCCATGTCCGCATGGCTGAGCCTTTGCGGCAGGGAGAGCGGCCAGACAGGGAGGTGCGGGGACAAGTGTGCATGGGCACACTGGCCCTGCCCTGGTTCACCCCCTTCCCTCCTGAGTCTAGGAAGCATTCGAGCAGCTGATACACCACATGTGCAGTGGACCAAGCCATCTCCTGATCCTCACCAGGACGGAAGGGGCCGAGGACGTGGTCACCGCCTGGCGAAGCATCATGGGACCCTGTGACCCTGATGTGGCCAGGAGGGAGCAACCCGACAGGTGACCCCCACCAGCTGTGGTCCTTTCATTTATTTCCAAACCTACACCTGGGGAAGGTGAGCGCCCCACCTGCTGTTCAGCCCCAGAACTGTGGGTGACAACACAGAAGGCTGACAGCGGGAGCCCCCCTTCTGTGACCCTCATACAAAGAGTGCTTCCCAGGAGCTGACTTCCCTCTTCCTCCTGGGACAGCTGCTGCGTTCACTTCTCAGCCACTCTCTTTTCCAGCCACAGCGGCCCAGGTGTGGCCACAGACTCAGCCAGGAAAATGCAGGGTTCAGGTCTTTGCTCAGGGCACACTTAGGCAAGCCCCTTTCTTCTCTGCCCTCCAGGGTTGGTGAAGAGCTCAGCTGCCAGGCTCCTTGCATTTCTCCTCCTTGCCATGTGACTTTGTGCCTGGCCTCCATGCCCTCATTCCAAAACAGCTGAGACCTGGTTGTGAGGGCTGAGTTAATACACATCTGAAACCCTGAGGACCTAAGAAGACCTAGCATGTCAATCTCATGTCAGGGAAATCATGGGAGGATTAGCTGTGTTCACCTATATAAGCACGTGGCCCAATGCTAGCCCCTGCTGGTCATAATACCAGCAAAAGGTCAGCTCTGTGCTACATATCTTTAAGACAACAAGGCTGACAGTCTCCCTGATGGGCCGTGGGTGCAGGGGCCTGGCCCTTGGCACAGCTGCGCCACGATTGAGTATGTGGCGATCTGCCATTGGCAAGTCAATGCGACTCATAGCAAGCCTATAGGGCAGAGTAAACTCCCTAGGTTTCTTCATGGAAGCCCCATCTTTCTCCCTCAGAGCGGCTGTGGATTGAACCACTGACCTTGCTGTTAGCGGCCCAATGTTTATCCCACCTGCACCACTCACTGGTCCACTGCAGTGGGCTCCCACTGCTCTTACTCTCACCACTGCTGTTCTTGGCATTTCCAGCAGAGGAAAACAGCTCCCCAGGAGTGCAGAGCGCCGATGGGTGGTGCATGATCTCATGGACAGAGAGCAACCCCTTCTTTTTGGATGAAACTATTCTTTCTTTTACATTCTGCAATGGCCCAGTCTCCGCGCTCAGTACGGCACAGTGATGCCCTTCAACGCTGTGCATGGGAGCCAGGATGCAGCCGCTGCCCGCAGAGAGCTGCTGCTGCTCTTCCCCAGCTTCAAGTTCTCCGAGGAAGAGACAGGGGCCGCCCCGGGGAAGTCACCGAAGCAGATTCTGGCTTCGTAAACCGGAGGTGAAAAGCAATATTTGACTTTGTACTTGTGTACATGTGAGGATAATAAAAACTAATTGGTCACCAAGGCGTCAATCTAATACAATCCTGTTTTTAAAAGTAGGAGGTGGTGGCAGGGGGCGGGGGAGGGGAGAATCTCCAAATCTTCTGCCATCAATGCTGAGTCATGGTGTCCCCATAGGACAGAGACCTGCTCCATAGGGTTTCCAAGAGTGCAGTCATGAAGGAAGCACACTGCCACACCTGTCTCCGCAGAGAGGTCTGGTGGGTTTGACCCACTGATTTTTGGGTTAGCAGCCGAGCTCTTAACCATTGCACCACCAGCTGTCCTCCGACCTACCTGAGTCGCCATAAGTCAGAGTCCACCCAAGTGCCATCTGGTTGGGTGACGTCACTTGAGCCTCAACCCTAAACTGCCTATGTTAATAGGTTCACAGTGCTGCATTTTACCCTCAGTTGTTTTTCTGCTGCATTCTTAGGGGGGGAATCCATTTTGGGGTCACCTTTTTATTGCAGAGGCACATAATTTTCCTTTGGAAGCCACGGGGAAAATGGAATCCGTTATGGAAAACACCTTCAAAGCCAGTCAGCAGCCCATGTCACTCCCTGTTGTGTCCTGTTAAGTCACACTAAGTCCCTAGAGGGGACTCTGAGCAGCAGGGGCTGTGGGCCGGCACCCTCCTTCCTCCGGAAGTCCACACGGACCCCTGAACCCTGGACTCTGAATCAGCGTGATCTTCATTCAGGGCCTTCCCCTCCCTCACTGATCTCTCAGCCAGTCAGCTTCTGGGGGAGCCGTGTGTCCACACTGCTTCCAAGTCCCAGTGGGAAACTAAGGGCCCAGGGAACAGATAACGTCCCATCAACGCCAGTTCTCTAGGTCCATGTCCCTTGTGTGAATGAAGGGTGACGTGGAGAGGGCCAGGAGACAAAGATCCTGGGCTAGTTCTCGGGAGAAGGCTGCCTGCCCATGGAACATGGTAATCGGCACGTGTGCTCACGTTTGGGCTCTGACTGGTGCATTTGCTCAGTGTTTGCTGCGCTCATGCCTGTCTGTCTCCTCCCAATCTCACTCCCAGGCCAGGGAAGGCTGGTGGCCACAGGGCACTGTAAGGCCGGGCAGGAGCTGGCCTGCAGGACTCTTCGTTGAATCCTGGCCACTCCCCGTGAGGTGTGGTTATTTGCACCGTCAGCCAAGGAACAAGAGGAGTAGGGAGGACTTGGGGAGTCCTGTGATCACGGACTGTGGCCCTGCTGTGGGTCAGAGTATACGCGCCCAAGGTCCTCTGTTCCTCAGTCCCCCACTCGCTCCCTGCAGGGAGGGAGACAGTGCTAGGGCTGGCGTTCCTCTAGTGGCCTGCCCTCAGTGGGGTACACTTCCTCATGCGTCCTGGGTGGTGGGCAGCGTCATGCTGCTGGGAGGTGGCTAAATGCAAAAACAGGTGTAACTCATGGTCAAGTCTGAGGAAGGACTCACTCATGGGGTACTGGGCTTTCAGGAGATAGCAAGATTGGCCTTTAGACTAGACTCTTCATAAGGGGTCTCGGGTGATAGTAAGCACAGGGGACAGTTCCCCATCAGCCCCCAGCCCAGGAATAAGTGCACAGCCTGGTGGCATGGTGACCCCACCCATTGCTGGTGTCAGCGTCAAGCCTGCACGGGGTGTCAGCGTCAAGCCTGCACGGGGTTTCAGCATTTTCAACTCAGCCAACCCTGTACCTGCTCGGAAGGTGGGGTGGGGGGCGGGGGTCAAGGGCTCTGGAGACAGGTCCATCCAGGGTTTGCACGCTGACTCCAATGGAACAGCCCTGGGAAAGCGACCCTCTCGGGGCCTCAATGGGGAACAGACAATAATCCCAGCTCCCACTACGAGTCCCTAACAAGAGTCTTCCTGGGAGGGCTGCTGTGAATGAAGGTGGAGACAGAGGAGGTAAAGTTCTTATCTTCCCACCTGACACAGTAAACGCTCACCACAAACCAACCGAGGCCCCTACGTCTGCCTCCCAGTGTTTACTAGGATCCCCCTTGTGTCCTGCCCAGAGGTTAGGTCCTGTGGACCTGCTAGAGCAGTGGCTATGGGTTGGGCTAGTAACGGCAAGGTCGGCAGTTTGAAACCCCCAGCTGCTCCTTGGGAGAAAGACAGGGCTTTCTGAAGAGCCCTGGTCTTGGGACTCGCAGGGGCAGTCCTACCTTGTCCTGCAGGGTCGCTAGGAGTCGGCATGGACTTTGGTTTTGTTGCTGATGGGTGGGGCAGGCCTTGTGGCTGATGGGTGGGGCAGGCCTTGGGAAGAATCCCTGCAGCCCATGTTGTCTGGCAGGTGGGCAGGCCCCGGTAGTGGCGGGCCCTGCCCAGTTGTTGGGCCCGGAGGACTGAAATGGCCGTGTGGCGCTCCTGGCCACAGCGTCAGCGCCAGAGCCAGGTCTGCTGCACTCGGGCGCCTCCAGAATCAGCGTTCTCCTCTGGGCATCAGTACCTGCCTAGTTTTAACTACCCATCTCCTGCCCCATTCAACACTGTGTGGAACACACACCAACGGTGTACGCTGTCTCTGGGATTTAAAAAGATAGAGGCGCCTCAGTGTACCCCCATTGGCCGTGGCACCAGGCACGCCGCCCCGGAAGGGAGGGAAGGCGGCACGGCACCCCTTCTCCTAATTTTCTTGACAACCTCTGCCCTCTCCCGTCTCTTTGGCTTCCAATTTGGGGTAAAATCTAATTAAAAAAACCCCGAGCTTTAAGTGGAGAGAAAATGTTTTGAGAAACGATGTACATATGCGCTTTACACAATTGATGTGTGTATGGATTGGGCTAACAGTTGTATGAGCCCCTAATAAAATGTTAATTAAAAAAAAAGTAATGTTACACTATTTATTACTTGTGGAATGGAAAACCTTATTCATTAAAAACCTTTAAACTAAAAAAAAACAAAACAAAACCCGAGCACCCCTCGTGGGACCAGGCTCCTTCAGCTTTGACTCCATTGCCGGGTTAAACTGTCCCTCCGTGGTCCTCTGGACACAGGAGATTCCACAAAAAGCCCGTCCCTGGACCCTGCGAACACGTCCACGGTCACCGTTCTTACCAATTCTGCTCTTTGGTCCGGCAGTAACTTGACCAAGCTCAGGCTGAGGAGACCATGTCTGTACCCGTCAAGTGTCGGCCGCTCCTTCCTATAGAGCTGCTTCCTCCTGACTTAGGAACGTTCTTTAAAATGGGCGGGGAGCTTGCAGACCAGTCTTCACGTCGCATTAAGGTCAGTCTGTCGGCCCACAGCCCAAGGCAGTGCGCTGTGCCGCCCTGGACTGGTACCAGCGAGAAGAGAGGCTGGGTGAAGGGGAGACGGAGGCCTGGCGCCCGGTAAGCACAAATACACCTGGGCGTCATCAGGAGATAGACGGAACCCCACGTGCCCTACAGGGCCTCACTGACAGGGTTTGCCTGAAAGGTGGCTCCCTGGTCGACCCCGGGACACACCATGCTCCGTGGGGTTGAGAGGGTCTGAGGGTGACCACCTGGAGGCGTCCTAGCAGCATAGCTGGGCTGCCACACGGTGCTGAACGTGGCTGAGCAAGCTGTGGGACACAGGTGTAGCAGGTTACAGCTAGTGATGGAGTGAGCAGGAGAGAGAGGGGGACTTCCAGGAGCAGCCGGGTGTGGAGGGGTTGGCTTCTCTGGGGCTAGGAGGGGTGGCAACACCCTCCTTTCCATTTCTGGCAGCCCACGGACACTGTGGGGGTCCCTGAGAGTGGCCTGATCTTTTAGGAGACTCCTTCCAGCAAGCCAGGGTCTGGCGGGTGGGGATGTGTTTGGCATTGACTGACGTCTCTCAGCTCCTGGGCATGGCTTATTGACAGGGTGGCAGGCAGGTTGGCTCCAAAGGACTGGTTTGACAGAGCACAGAGAGGGCTGTCAGGAGCTCCGAGGGGAGGAAGCTGGTGGCTGTGTGGGCCATGCCTTCCCTGAGGCTCAAACTCCTCGGTGCCTTTCTGCCCAGCAATTTGGAAAGACCAGCACAAAGGGGCAGCACCAGCCCCTATCCCAGGGGGGCAAGGTGAGGCCTTGTTCTGGGGCCAGCCATCAGGACCTGCATGAGTCCCCTTTCCTCTCCTTCCTCAGGTCCATTTCCATGTTTCCCCGTGATAGTCAGAGAAGCCCGAGTACCTTCCTCCTAGACGCACCATGGGGCCCCTCCGCCCAGGCTCTGGGGCAAGTGTCCGGGGCTTTCCTGTGAGGCTATTTGAGAGATGGTGCGGTCAATTACATAATTTCATGTCAATATGATAAACAGAATGTACCTGTCAATCAGGTCACCGCCTGATGATGCCTCCTGGTGGGTGTGACCTTCCCATAAGGAGGATCCTGGGAACTTTCTTTCTTTTGCTGATTTACCAACCTACTGACAAGACACTGAGCTACACAGGGACCTGAGCCAGTCCTGTGAGGCCTCTGCCATTGGGTCACAAGACTTTTCACCCACCAGCCTGTGATTTTCCTGCATACTGCATCATTGCACGTGGCTGCATGAGTCTGAAGAGAGGTTTATAGACCAGGATCAGCTTTATGGACTAATATCAGACTTATGGATTTGATCTGGCCTGGGCTGGCTGTTTGCTTGATATACAATGACTTTGATATAAAGCCCTTCCTTATACATACATGAGAGGCTGAGCTAGTTAATTGTGCCAACCTGGCCGATAATCACATGTGGGGCTAATTGAAAGGAGGAGGGGTAAATGGATGGTGAGCCTCGCCTTTCTAGTTCTCGGGTCTCTTGCTTTGTGATGGTCGCACCAGGGTGCAGCTGCCTTAGCGGTTCCCTGCTTCAGCTTGCAAGATTGACTTCATACAAGACATCCCCAAGGAGAACCCACATGGACCTATCCCGATGCAGCCCTGGGTGCTGGAGCAGCCGTGTGGAGACCCCTGCTAGTGCTGAGATGCTTATTCGTTCACTGACTCGGCTTTCCTCCTGCAGTCGGCATCATTGCCTCTGTTTTGTGAGGTGGAGGACTTTGTGGACTGGTGTTGGGTTAATGAGTTAATGTTGGACTTGAGGGCTTGGGCAGCATTGGGTTGGGATGTCTTCGTGATGCACACTTTCTTTACATAAAACTCTCTTATACGTGAGTTGCTGTGGATTTGTTTCTCTAAAGTACCCAGACTAATACAGAGGCTCTGACTTTGTTTCTCCAGTTAACCTGGCCTAATGTAGATGGGGGAGGAAGGCATTGTGGCCAGCAAGTGCAGAGCACCGTGGGTCCTGCAGGTGAGCTGCAGCTGCTTTCACATGGTGCCCAGGTCACGTGCCCGACTCCGGACCCGAGACCCGCAGATGGTGACAGCAGAGGCATGGCTGACTTATGTTAGGTCCCCTAGGCTTGGGCAGATGCCGCTGGAAGCTGGGTGACCGAGGGCCCAGCTCCCACGTTCCCTGCCTCTCCCTCCACGGTTCCACAAATTGCATGGGTTCGAATGTTTCTTACTGTTCTAGACATTTGGAAAACAGACTTCTGCTTAGAAGTTGCCATGATTTTCCTCAGCTTTTATTAGCATGTGTTATGACAAAGTCATATTACCCAAACACTACCAGAAGAACATGTATGTTCTGAATAAAGTGCTTAAGGAAAAAAAAAAGCAACTTATTAAATTGGACATTCTTTCCTAGTTGGTAAATTTGGGGTTACAATCAGGGCACAACAGGAGATACCACGGTATTAGGAAGAACTCGAGTGTCCACACAAGACCATGTCCATCCTTTCTGCTTCCTTGCTGACTGGACACTGTGCCTGTGTGAAGGAGCAAACAACCTTAAGAAAGACATTTTCCTTCATTTAAATCAGAAAAGGAGCTAACTATTGTAAAGCACTTTTTATTTGACCACCTGCCTGTGCCCACAGATAAGATTTCCGCACAGAGCTAAGTGTGAGATCTCACGGGGCCTTCAGCTTTCTGACACTACGGGCTCAAGACTGTCTCAGCAATTCTTTATTGGCTTCTATTTTCCTGGTTCTTTTAGTAGCCAATCCACAGTGTTTTATGCCGCCCATGCCAACCCAGGATTTTCCCACAGTACCGGGAACTGCTGTCCATGAGTGGCCTGAGTGAGGCGCTACTTCCACAAGTGGGGTTTCTGCTCACCTGGCTTCCCCACACTAGCAGTGCTCTGATGTCCCTGTTTCGACAGATTTTGAACTCAGTGATGTTCTGAACAAAGAACATCTTGGAAATCTCGGTTTCAATCTTGAGAGGGCACGTGGAGACCAGGACATCTTGCATTACATCCATTTTGAAACCATCCCTTTGCAAGCAGACATCCACGAGCTCTTCCAAGGAAGGTGCAGTGGGTGACTGGGCACCAGGAGGAGGGGGTACGCCTCCCCTCACACTTCCAGGACACGGGCCTTGCTTCCTGGACTTGGTACCTTTGACCTTTCTCAGTAAAGGGTGGTTCTACCTTCCTAACAGTCGAGAGCAGCCTCAGAGTTCGGCCTTGAAGCTGACTCAGGAGTCGGAGCTGGTGCCAGGCTGAGGGCTGCAGAAGGCTGCTCAGCAGTGCTTGCTGTAAAGAGAGTCCTCTTTGGCGATTCCCTTGTCTTTTCTCAACTCCAGTGCTTCTGGCTTCGAGCAGGAAACACTCAGAGTCCAATCTCTTACTCAAGTTGTGACTTCGTTTCACAGACACACTCTGAACAGTCAGGCTCCTGCCACTGGAAGGGCCTGCAGAACGGACCGCTGTGGTTTCACAGGGACAGACGCTGTTCAGGAAGCCCAGGTGAGCTGATTTGCTTCCAGGAAGGGATGGCCTACTTCACTTGGAGAGTATAGTTCCAGGCCTGCCTGTTCCTCCAACGGACAGGATGTGGGGCAATGGGAGGGCTCTGGGTCCCCAGCTCCTGTCACGGGCAGCCCACCACAGCCAGGACTGGCCTCTCACTATCAGTAGTTAGACTTCCCTTAGAAGTTTAAAAAACAACGATGCCCTACAGTGAACCTGTGGCCTCACTCCATGCCATCTGGGCCATCTGCCTTGAAAGCCTGAGGATTTATTGAATTAGGCCGAAACGCAGGCTCTGTACCTGTGAATATTGACGGCAGTAAGATGCTAGCTATTTTGCACAGCACCTTGGATATGCCTGTTACTCAGGCTAACCACAGCCAACTTTTTCTTCTATGTTTTTGTTTGTTTTTTAAAAAGAAAATATAATTAAGTTGAAGTTCAGAAATGCATATATTTTTTTACTTACAAATATTCATCTGACCAAAATTTAACATAACCTTTATGGAACACTTAACAATTATTTTGTTTTTAAAATAACATTTCATTCAAACTGTATATAATTCAGTAAAGTTTTTATACAGCAAGCAATGCTTAAACCCTGGAAAATCTGTAGAAAAGATTTTCACACAAAATAAGGAAAGAAAATTCTGAGGTATCTCACACACACACACACACACACACACACACACACACACACGCTGGCCCACGTGCACATCCATACCCATACACACGTGTGTGTAAAGACGCATTCACGCTCACTCACAAAGTGGCTGCAGCATAGGCAAAAAATTGTAGGTCCAAAGGAAAATGATGATTGATTGTTCTAATTAAGAGTCCAGGTAGCTCAAAACCCATAAACAAAAACTGAAAACAAAGCACAATAGTCCTGTGAGGAAGTGACTACCTCAAAAAAAAAAAATGGTTCTCAAGATGAATTTGAGATCTAAGCCTACTAAATTGCTTTTGCAAAACAGCTCCCTGCAGTCAAGGTGACTTGTGCAAATAGAAGGAATCAAATGAGGCTAGTTCTTGTACTTCCTTAACAAGGGTGCGGGGTGTGCCGGTGCCCGGGGCGCCTCCCATCACGCCAGGTACTGCTGCAGTGCCGTCTTTGCCCTGAAAACACAAAGGTCCTGTCAGCAAGCGTCACAGAATTCCAACTGGAAGGACAAAACCAGCAGCGCGCTGATGGCAACTGGGGAAGACCAAGAGTCGGCACCAGAGACGAAGTGGCCCCAGCCCTCCTGGGCACCTGTCTTCCGGGCCAAGAAGCGCGGCCCGCAGCAGCAGCTCATCTGGGGTACAGTTACCGTTTTCCTGGGACTCTTACATCTCTGGCTGCCATGTAGATTTTATTGAGGGATGCAGGACATGGCGGAGGCAAGCACGGAGCAGCTTAGAGGGAAAATGGCCCAGCAAGTGGTGGCCAGGTGTTGACTACTGGGTACACGGCAAGGACCAGGGCCTGTGGGATGAGGCTGCCTTGTAGTTCGAATGCCTCAAAGTTGCTGCCACAGGGCAGGCTGGCTCTCCGCCACTGAGTTATCCCTGCTCTCACGGTTGGACTTTCTGCCTTCCAAAACGACATGCACCTTTCTATTCTAGCAGCTGAGGAAATGCAGGAGAGTGGCCTCTGGGGCCTATCCTGTCGCCCACTAAGATAACTCAGAGTAAAGGGAAGAATTTTCAGTAGGCGAAGTTCTAGCTTACACGAGGGAGCATCAAGTTTGTGAGTTTGGCTATGTGAACTGGCAGCCAATCCAAACTCCTTCATCAAAGACCCAAGTGTTCCCCACCCAAGCAAGGCTCTTTGACTTTGATACTCACTTGTCACAAAGGTTTGAATCTGGTGACTGACTCAGTTTATGTAGAATATCTACAATGCCCATGTCCCGTAATTTATCCTGGCGTTCTTGGGAACCTGAAAGATTAAAGCTAGTCAGTCATCTACCAGGAGCATGGCCCCGGGGTTCATCTCCTGGGATACAATCACCAACGTGGTCCTTCACTCCACACCCCCCACTGTCCCGTATACACCCCTTTCCCCTTTAATAGATCACCCCACATACCTGGACCCTCTGGGTAGTCTGCTAAATGGTCTCGTTGCTCCCTGTCCCTCGCTCCTAAAGTCCACCCTGGGTTCTACTGCTGGAATAATTTCCCCACAAGCTACAGGGTCATGGTCAGGCTCTTCAGTCTGGCACAGGCTCATTGTTAACAGGCCCTAGTTTCAATACTTGCACTTGAACATGTCCCTGGCCCTGGCCAAGCCAGGCCCTTCCTAATCCCGACAGGACTTCCTTTCCTGCCCAGCCTCTGCCCGCCACCCCCTACCCCAGCACTCGCTGTGCCTCTCAGTTTAAGTGGCGGCTGCAATTTCACCCGCCTCTGTTCTGTTTGCCTACTCCACTAGGCCCTTGAGGGCTGCTCTGTCTCCTCTCAGATGCCAGCAGAGCCACTGGTAACCAGACACAGCAGCTGGCATCCGTGGGCTGATTCCAGTGTCTCCTCCTTAGAGTGACTCACTCATGCACTGACCTCTCTGGACAAGAATCTCCAGGGGTAGGGCCCAGAAGTCAACATTTAAAACATCCTTCATGTGATTCATGCAGCTGATACAGGACCAAGACCCATGGCTCCCCTGCATCTGCTCACCACCTTGGCTTGACCCTGGGATCGCCTGGTGCTTGGGGAAACACGTATGGAGGATGTCTACCCCTGCGGAGGGTGATTTAATTGGCTGGTATGAAACTGCCCAGGAGATTCTAATGTGGAGTCAGAGTCGAGAACCTCAGACCACAGAGGCCGCCTTCCAGCCTGGCAGCTTCGGCTTCACGAACTGCCCTCACTTCCCACCAGGGAGGTCCTCTCTCCAAAAGTGGCTGCAAGCAGTCCTTCTATGGGCTCCCCTTGCTCGTGATGGAAGCCTCACCCTTCTCCTCCTCAAGGGCAGGGCTTAGGGGCCGCTGTCCCGTTGGCTGGTCCCACTGATTCTATACCAGAGGGACTCTGCTGGGGGCCTGGGGCCAAGAAGCCCAGAAACAGGGCCTCTGTCCAGGATCCGGTACCGACTGCCTTCCCAGAGGGAGACACTCTTTCCAAGCTTTCCTTCAGAACAAATCTCACCAACTTCTTACCTTCCTCTTCATGCCTTACGAGGTTTGATATGCAGAACATTGTGGCAAGCTGCAGCTTGACATGTGAATGGCCCTATTTGATGCAAAAAGAGAGCGAGATGGAGGTCATTGTCTTTTAGGTCATTTTCTAGTAACATGTTGTCTTAGTTATCAAGTGCTGCTGTAATAACCATGCTACCAGGTGGGTTTAATCAGCAGAAATGTACTTGCTCACAGTCTGGAAGTCCAGATTCAGAGCACCAGCTGTGGAGGACAGCCTTCGACTGAGCAATCTCAATGTACTTGGGATCGCTCGCTCCATCTCTACTTGCTAGCTTCAGTATCTAAAGAGAGCTTGGCTCCAGTAACACCCCACACGAATCCTGCCTCACCCACAGCACAGGTAATCTCAACAGCCAAACAATTTGACCTGGAGGCTTCAAACTCGGTGCCTTACGGTACCGAGAAGTTGAGAGAAAGGGCTGGGTATTGGTAAAGGACAAGAGGTATTGGTGGGGAATCTGGCAAACCAAGGAGGGTAAGTCTTGCCGAAAGATAAACTAAAACGTTCAAAACCCTCTGGATTCGTAGCTATAGATTAGTATATAATTCAACACTGGCGTGTGAAAACACTGGCGTGTGATTTCAATGCTGTTCACTTGTCAAGTTGGTTCCACCTCAGATTGAATGACCCTACGTACAGTAAGACAACACACTGCCAATTGTGCACCATCTTCAAATCTTTGCTGTTTCAGCACATTGCTGCAACCACTGTGTTAATCCATCTCATTGACCTTTTTCATTGACCCTCTACTTTACCAAGCATGATGTCCTTTTCCAGGGGGTCAGCAAGGTCAGCAGTTTGAAACCACCAGCCAGAGGCTCCCCAAAAGAAAGACAGGGCTTTCTACTCCCACAGAGTTACAGTCTCAGAATCTCACAAGGGCAGTTCTACCCTGCGCTATAGAGTTGCTATGAGTCAGCCTCGAATCCATGAGTTTGGTTGGTATGGTCTCTCCTGATAACATGTCCACAGCATGTGAGATGAAGTCTCACTGATCTGAGGAGAGATGTGTTTGTCCTTCTGGCAGTCCATGGTCCTTTCAATACTTTGCTAATGGCAACTGTAAACACCATGGCTTAGGTCAGGCACATGTTAATCCTCAACACTTTTTTTCTCTTTAACACGTTAAATAAGGTTTTGCAACAAATTTGCTCAATGTAATACAATGATTTCTTGACTGCTACTTCCATGAGTGTGATTGTGGATCCCAGCAAGAAGAAATCCTTGACAATTTCTATCTTTTCTCCATTTATCATGATGTTACTTATTGGTTCGGTTGTGTAGATTTTTGCTTCCTTTCTGTTGGGGTATAATCCCTACTGAGGAATCATCTTTATTAATCAGTGCTTCAAAAGACCTCGTGGTCAGGTTGTGTCACCTGCACATATGTCAGTCGGACCCCCATCCTCACGCCACGTCATACAGTTCAACTTCTCAGATCATTTGCTCAGCACATAGATCAATAAGTCACGGTGAAAGAATACAATTTCGACACAAAGCTTCCCTTAGGTCAAACGTTGGTCTTGTTCCGTTTGACTGACTCACTCTAGGTTTATGTACAAGTTCTTTACGAGCACAATTAGGTGTGTTATAATCCAGAGTCAAATGCCTTTGCAAAGTCAGTAAAGCAGAAATAAATACCTCTCTGGTAATCTCTTTCAATCGAGCTCCATCTGATGTCAGTGGACAGTAGTCATACCCCTTGTGGCACGTCCTCTTCTGAAGCCGGCTTGAGCTTCTGGCAGTGCTCGGTTGCTGTATGGCTACCACCAGGTTTTGCATGATCTTCAGCAAACTTTTACTTGTGTGTGTGCTATCAATGATACTGCTTGATTGAGCTCTGGTTTATCTACATCAGGAAACGTTCGAGTCACTGGAGCCCAATGGAAGGATTTGCATTTGGTATATGCCTCTTCAGTCACTGACGGAGCTGTGGAACAACTGAGCTCCACCCAGCTCCACTCCACTCCACTCCATAAATGCTTTGCTTCCTTCACACCACTTGCTGAAAATAATGATTTTATGAGGCTGTACCCCCTCCCCAAACCACAATTTCCCCCCAAAGCTATGCACTTAATTTTTTTTTTTAACCAAACCACCTTATCACTTTTAAAGTACTCTCCATTACACTTAGTACATTTGTCAAATCTGCAATTCCACTCTTGGAAACACTTTGCAAACGCATCTGTTTGGATGGCTGACAGCACCTGCCTCGTTTTTTTCTTCTTCACCTCTTCTACGTCATCAAATTGCTGTTTTTTCATGTCCCTCTTCATTCAAGGAGACAAAAAGAAGTTGCACAGAATGAGGTCAGCTGAGTAAGGTGCGTGGGGCAAGAAAGGCATGTTGGTTCTTGGCCAAAACTTGCACACTGGGTACATTGGCCATCTTTGCAGAGATATGGTCTACACAGTGTAAACAGGAACCCGAGAGTCTGTGATCCTTGCTTCACGCCGCTCGTGCCTGTGAGCAGGTGCCTGTCCCCCCATCTGTCACCAATCAGGCCTTTTTTTGTTGCACACTGTTACATAATCTTTTCAGAATCTCTCAATAGAAAGCTTGATTAACAGCCTGACCTGGTGGAACGGACTCCAAATGCACCCTTCCCCTATAAAAAAAAAAACACAAAAAAACCCCCAAAATGAACATTTTCTTGATCTTTTATTTCACTTGATGAGCTTTTTGGGGCATCTTCCACTGGCTTGACTGATGTTTGCTCTTGGGGTTGTAAGAACAGCACCATGTTCTCACCATGTCTCATCACCAGTAACGACCTTGGGGAAAAAGCCTGGGTCGCCTCGGAACTGTTCTTTCAAAGTACGGCGTGTTTCCACTCGACATTCTCTGTCCTGGCCAGTCGGAACCCAAGGCACAAACTTTGCAGCAGCCCTTCTCATCCCCAAGTCTTCTGTTAAAAATCACTGAACCGAGCTCCTAGGTAGTCCGGATAACTTCCCCGTCTCTTCAATGGTCCGTCATTGGTCTTCGAGCACAGCGCATGAATTCTGTCAACATTTTACTCTGTTTGGCAAGTTGACAGACGTCCAAAATGAGGTTTATCATCAATCAACATTTCACTGTTTTTGAAACGAGAAAACCACTTGTACACTTGAGTTTTTCCCATAACGCTATCCTTGTAAGCTGTTTAACATCACAACAGTTTCTGTGGCATTTTTCCCAAGCAGGAGACAAAATTTCACAGCCACATGCTGTTCTCTTAAATCAGCCATCACAAAAAAGGAGGTTGGAGTGAAACTGGTTTTACGAAAAAAATTCACTGTGACCACAGAGAACCTGCCCAGGTGATGTCGCTGGGTGTTGCAGCTCAGAACGAGTTGCTGGATGCTTGCCTAGCGGGGAAAATGTGTACTACAAAAGCTCCACCCAGTGGAGCTTTCTTCTATTTTGGGGGTGGTGGGAGGGGGTGGGTAGGAGGGTGGGGGGAACTCCCTCAAAGTTCAGTTTTTGGAATAACCAAATTACTCTTAGTTCCATAGAACTTGATTGATGGTTTCTCCAGGTGATGTATCAAATGTCTCTGATGTGGTTGAGCAGCCTCCCATACTTCTGAGACAATTCTTGTTTCTTTCTATTCTATACAGAGAGTACGATTTCTGGGCAAATTAGATCGTTTTTAAGAGTGCTTTCTCTTAAATGATCAAGAAGCCAAGATAAAATCTTTATAGATAATATTTCTATTGGTCAAGTAAAACAATTTTTAAAAGCTTCCCAGTAATTTAAGTGATCATTTTTTTTGCACATCTCGGGGGATCCCAGTGACATGATGTGTTCTTATGGTTTCTTATAAGCTAAGACAGAGACCTATCCTCAACTAAGCAGAGACATAGAAATGGATTCAGTTTCTTCCACTAGGATTCCATGCTTAGTGGTTCTTTGCTCTCTCACCTGTTCTAAGACATTTAAGAGATGCTCACTTTGGGCAAATTGAGCAAACAAAATTGATCATCTGCCCCCAGCTCCAGGCCCTCAACGAGTATTTGTGGAATAAATGAACTTGGATGCAGTCCAGAAATCAAGCATCTACTATGTTTCAGTGAAGGAGACCCTGGTGGAACAATGGTCACACGCTCGGCCTCTAACCATAAGGTGGGTGGTTCAAACCTACCAGTCTTTCTGGTGGGGAAAGATGTGGAATCTGCTCCCACAAAAATTATACCCTAGGAAATCCTAGGGGGCAGTTTTACTCGGTCCCACAGGAATCTGTGCTGGGAATGAATTATAGCACACAGCACGCTCCTTCATCATTTATTCTTCCATTCACTCAATCTGCATTGGGCAAATACACTGCTGTGATAGAGAACAGTGGACGGTGAAATAGTAAGTAAAGTGTTGGGCATAAACCAGATTTCACCAAAGAAAACAACATTTAACCAGAAACTTAGAGACGAGGAAGGTGCCAGCTGTCCCAACAGCAAAAGGCTGAGGGTTCTGAAAAGAGAGGGACCCTTCTGAAAAGGCCCAAGGTAGGTAGTAGTAGTATGAGAACGAAGAGCGGAGTAACCCTCATTCAGAGGAGCAGGGCCAAACCGTGGGCCCCTGGAGGCCACAGCAGGGAAGGGCTTTGGGCTTTGGGCTGCACTTTGAGTTAAAAGCCCCTGAAGGATCTGAGGAGGGGAGGGCAAGAGCTGACTTCCACTTCAGAAGATCACTTGGGCTGAAGGATTGGAGTGGGAGCATGGCAGTGTCTAGGAGGCCACTATAGATTAGGCCTGAGAGGCTGTGGCTTGCACTAGGCTGAGGCTGGTGGAGGGCCAGAGAAGTAAAGATATTCAAGATGGATTGTGGAAGGAGGGCTTGCTGATACAGTGAATGCCTGAAGTGAGAGAGCTGGAGAACCCAAGGTCGACTGTCAGATCAGAGTAACGACAGAGCCAGCATAGCGAGAGTGCACAATAAACCCGGGGGAAGAGGAATGTAGGCTTAGGCAAGAGAGTGCAGACTGCATTCTGGAACATTAATGAAGAGGCTATCGGATACTCAGGGGCATCAAGCAGGCATGAGGATAAGTGAGTAGATCAGATCCCCTGAAGCCAGTGGCCTTCCACATTGGTTGTACAGAAAAACCCACCTGGGGCGCTTGAAAGAACCCCCCACCCCCACCCCAATGCCTATGCCCAGACCAATTAAATGAGAACAGGGCATAGTACTTTCTGAAGCTTCCTAGGAGATTTCCAGTGTGCAACCAAGCTTGTGAACCACAGTGTCAGGAGGACAGAGTAGAGGGTGTTGTGGAAGCACGGAAGAAGGATGCTTGGAGGAGGAGAAAATGCTCAGTTGTGTTAAAATCAGCGAGAAGACGAGAATGAGGCAGACTGCACATCTGCTGGTAGGTCCAAACCGCTGACCCTTCAGTTAGTAGCTGAGTGTGTACCCACTACACCACCAGGGGTCCTCAAATGAGGCGAGAAAAACAATCCTTCAATCATGGGAGTCATTGGTGATCTTAACGAGAACACGGCCAAGGTGAGTGCTGGGAGTAGAAGTCAGACGAAGGCGGTCAGAGTGGATTTAGAGGTGGGGCAGATCACAGGCACGCAAAAGGACCTGCAAGTTTGGCTTTGAACACAGCAGGGACATGAGTGGGTATGAGAAGTTAAGGGAAACCGTTTCTGGATTAGATACTATGTAGATCTCAGACTGGAAAGGGAAGGAGAGTCTCCTGCTTCAACAGTAAGGCTTTCATTCAACAAATATTTACTGAGCATGTACTACAGGCTAAACAGCCGTGCACAAAACTGACATGTCCTTGCCTGCCTGGAGCTTACACTGGCACAGGAGTCACCCAGCAGACACACAAACAAGTACATGTCCACAGCTATGATGGAGGGGAAGGCTCTGAGGTTGGTAGTCGCATACAGAAACAAATAAGCTGCACAGACAAAGTGGCCACAGAAGCGCCCAGTTACCAAACCCCGGAGGGTCAAACACGTGGCACACAGGAATCAGGGGACATGTTCCAGGCAGTGCAAGAGGCTGGTGTAATTGGTAGATAAAGGAGGGAGGGATGAGATAAACTGAAGTCATAGAGGAGGGCCAGTCGTGCAGGTCCTACATGTAGTGGTAGCCTCTGTTTGCTTTATAAAGCATATACATGCCAGGTGCCATCCAAAACTCAGATCACTCAGAGGACGGGAAGAGGTGAGGTTTCAAGAGTGAGGAGCGAAGAGCCCTGCTTTGCGCAGAACGGAGAAGCTTACTAGACATTCACAGGCAGTGCTGAGCACTCCTCTGGGGTCTGTGCGTGTGAATCTAACATCAAAGCAGCCAGTCTTCTGGAGTGCCCCTCTCTCCAGCGGTAGGCAAAGAAAACGCAGTCAGTGTCAGTGGACAAGGATGCAGAGCCACCGTTACGAGGACACTGACAAAATGAAAACCGGCTCTGGACCGGCCACAGTAAAAGATGGCTGTGGTGTTCGGAAGCGATCCGGTCAAGGGTCTAAGGCGCCAGAGGGGACTGGAGGTTCACTCACAAGGAGTTGAATCTTAGGAAAGGAAAAGAGTCCTGGGGGTGGAGGGCAGGGACCGAGAAGCAGAGAAGCATACAAGTTCTCACGGAATGAGCGGGAGGCAGTCAGACAGAGCAGGAGTGAGGTGGCAGGTGGTAACAGCCAAATAGCATAAGCTTCATGGAGCAGGTTTTAAAACACTTCTTTCCTCTACTTTCAGGAGTAAAGAAAGTTCTTTCCTTTTAATTTTTTTTTAATCTCTGCATGATTTGCTTTGTGCTCCCAACAAACTCGGTCCTGCCTTCTAGCTCTGCAGCCAGTGGAGAGCCGTGAAAGGGGGCCGGGGCCTACCATGTAATACTTGATTTTCTGCAGTATGTCATCATTGGTCATGATAAGTTCCTTTGCCGTTGTCCCGTCCGCTATGTTGGCCAGGATGCACAGTGTCTGGAAAAGAACAAAGGGCCAGCGGTCAGGAAAGCTCTGAAGTCCCCAGTCTGGATGTGGCCAGGCCCTCAAAGGCTCAGGTAATTTCCCACCTGAGGGCATGTGGGGTGGCGCAGCTTCCAAGCCGGGGGCCCGGATCTCTCCCCTACCAACGTCTTGGCAACAGCACCAACCACACCACAGGGAAGTCTGCTTTAGACAAATGGGAACCCAAACATAAGCATCACCTGGCCAAAGGCAGCCCGTCTTACAGGTCCTATCAGCACATACGTGAGAGGAAAAGCGCGGTTCACCATTCATTTCCTGTTAGCACAAGGTTTCTTCAAAGAGGTGTTCTCTCTGGGGACGTCTTTATAGATGTCACAGCCTCTCCCTCCCCCAGGCTTCCCGCGGCGACTTGCTCCCAGGTTCATGACGCACTGGGTGAAGGCCGGTGCCCTGCCACTAGTGTTACGGCCGTGCACAATCAGGCCCTCTCTACTTTTCTCCATCCGGCGAGAGAAACAAATAAAATGTCCAAAGGGGTCTGGTCCAGCGTGGACTACAGTGGACTTTGGAGGGAGCCTCTGTCAGCTGGTAGGACTGTCCATCTTGAGGAGAATCCCAATGACGAGTTTCTTCTGAGAGGAGAAGGCTGTCCCACAGAAACGTTCTCTTCTCAGAGCTTGGCCAACAGGAAGCCAGCAAAGGTGAGGAACTGGGAAGACAAGCCCCTGCCAGCCTCAGCAGTGCAACCGCCATGGCCGAGCACCTACGCTCGTGGGCATTCGGCAGGTGTTAGCGTTCGGCAGGATGAAGACATGTCGTTCCCTGCCGCCGGAGGACCAGACCCACAATGTCCTTTCCCACCACCTGACTGGAATGAGACAGGAGAACAGAGGAGTAACAAGGGGACTTGTTCATGCAGAACGGTCCCGGGATCACCGGGAAATGTCGGAGAGGTGGGGAAGGGCTCAAGATTCAAAGACTTTCCTCCAGCTCTTACAAGTATCTGACTTCTCCTGGATTCACGCACGGCTGAAAGCAGGTGATTAGAGACTAAGTCCTGAGCTACGAACCAGAGAAGGCTGCTTCTGGAACAGAGGAGACATGGAAAGGGGCAGTTTATAATGTGAGCAGGCACGACTTAGTCCAGTGCACTGTTCCCAGGACCAGGTGGACTTGCTATGTTCCCGAACAGGGCAGGTGCCACACTTCACAGTGATCTGGCTTAAGAGCACAGGGATATTGGTGAGTCTGAAATTTCTCAAATTTCGCAGCCAGGGGACTACACAGGTCTGATCTATTTTCTTCTGTGACTTTTTATTATTGAAAAATTTGAAAATTACTAAATTTTCAAAAGAAAAGGCCAGCACAACGAACGCTTAGTCATTTATCTACCACCTAGATCCAACATCCATCCTCGCCGTGTCGTTTCCTGGAAAGAGTGTGCATGTGAGCGTGCAGATGTATGGCGGGGTGTGTGTGTTGGGTCTTGATCTTTGTTCTCCCCGACACATTCCATGATACTTTACCTTCAAGCACTTCTGAATGGCCCATCTAAGAACACTGACATTTTCTTATATTCATACAATACCAGGATCAAGCCTAAGAAAGTGGGTATCACTGATCTGGATGTTAGGTTAGTCCCTCATGGGAAAGAGACCCTGAAGGGGCACCTTCTCAGTACGACAAGTGGAATTAACCCGGACAGCTGGCTGTGGAAAGGGTTGTCTGCGTTCTGAAGATGCCATCAGACCCATGTGACTGATGGCCAGTCCACCCACGTCCTAGCCCCACCTGGACGGACAGAGTCGGTCAGTCAGTGAGCACAGTATTCGATCCTCTTTCTCGCTTCCCAGCTCATGGCATCGACATTTCTGTGATTTACATATGGCAACACTAGACTAAGTAATGCAGACAGAATGGACATTCCCCATGGAAGTACCATGTTCCTTCCAGTGCTTCTCTTCCTTCAGATAATTTCAGAAAGACTCAGGAGCGCACGCCTGAAAAGCACCCACCTTCCCAGGGTAGCCAGGGCGGTGACCACAGCAAGCACCAGCAGAGTGATTCAGTGCTCTCCACTGAAGCTCGGCCAGCGCGGTTAGGGAGAGCAGCCAGTGAGGGTCAGTGATGGCACCAGACTGACTGGAGGTGGGGATGGAGGAGCCTGTGGAAGGATCATACAGGCTTTCTCTCTCCTGTTCTCAATTTCCCCTTTCTCCTCACCAGGGGGGCTTGCTCCTGAGTTGGCTAAAGAGGAAATAACAGAAGTGGGTCTATTCATGGATGACAATCTAAAAGGCATAAGCTAGGTATCACTGGGAGGAGGAGGAAATGGCTAACACGTGCAGACTAAGCACTAAAATAGATTATGGGGAATGGGTAGAGGGGGACAAATTTCAACAAACATTCCAGAATGGCCCAGCTTAGCAAGCAGGCCTATGTGTTAGAACATACCTGTGTGCCCCCAGCCTGCATAGTAATGGCCAAGTGAAGGGTGGCTCCATTTTAAAGCTCACAAAACCCCCAAATAAATATTCTAACAAAGACAGAGGCCAAATTGGGAAAAGCTCTCTATAAGTCCTTGGGTCAATTAAGTTTAAGTGCTAGGAGGCATAGATAAATGAGATTTACCTAATATAGCTTATCTATCTACTTATCTAAATAAATAAAAAACAACAATTAAAAAAAATCCAAAGGACAATGCCGAACTGTCCCAGTGAGCTTCCCAGGCGGCCACTCTTTACTGGATTAGAAAGCCCACCTTTCTTCTATGGAGCAACTGGTGGTCTCAAACTGCTGTCCATCCTCAGTAGCCCAACACATAATTACTACGCTTCCAGGAGTCTAGAGGGTAATGGGAAGCTAAGAATACTGGGTACAAGAATGAAGAAAATGTTCTAAAATTAACTGTGGTGATGATTGTACCACTCTTTAAAATATATTTAAACCATCTAATTTTATGGTACGTGAATTAAATGCAAATGAAACAAATTCAGAGAAGGCCCAGTAATCAAATGCTTACCAGGTACTGTTACATACTGTAGAATATTTGGCCCAGTGTGGATAAACAGTTCTTAGAAAAAGCTTAATCAGTAGTGAAGGAAACAAATGACATTTGGCCTGAAATGCCTGGAACCATTCTGACTGACAGGGGCTGAGCACCGAGCCACAGGACAAGCTGGAAAATCAACGCTTGAGGGCCCTGGCTGAGACAGCACAGGCACAAGGTGCCCCTTCCAGCCCGCAAGACGGAGAAGGAGCAGACACTAACCAGAAGAAGAAAGTGGTTTCCAAATGGGGGCGTCTTGGCACAATAGTGGGTGTGCCAGAGATGCAAAGTGGTGTGATATTCATCCTGAAGTGCAAGGCTCTCAGAGATAGGATAATATCTATATGCCTGTAGGATCAATTAAAAGACTATTGTTGAAATTTACATACCAATCACTAATGCTCAAAACACGGATTTTTACCAACATACACAGGCTGAAATTAGTGAAGTATGTAATCAAGATGAAGTGTTCACTACCAGTGACTCAAACGCACGGCTGTCAAGTCCAGTCTGACTCACGGTGACCTGGTAGGACAGAGCAGTGCTGCTCTGTGGGATTTCTGAGGCAGCAACTCCTTAAGGGGCACATAGCCCGATCTTTGTCCCGCGGAGTGGCTGGTGGGTTTGAACGACTGACCGTGCAGTCAGTAGCACAATAACGAATCCATTACAGCCACCAACATTCCTCAGAAGAAGGATCAGTACTTGGAAATGATAGCTTTGGAGACAGAAATGATACTAGCATTCATATGATGAAAATTTGCAAGAGCAATGAAACACCTTTTGTCATCAACATAAATGGCAAATACAGAGCTCTAGTCACGGTGTAGCAGGCTCCCAGTGATAGGATTTACAGTTTTGGAAACCCTCACAGGTAGTTCTATTTTGTCCCAAAGAGTTGCCATGAAACAACATGATGGTAATGACTTTAGTTTTGATTTGCAGTCCTGGACTTCACCAGATGGAATACACGGGAATCAAAGTGCCTGCCAATCTGTGGAAAGACACTGCAGGGAAGCTCAATATTAAAAGTCAGTATAAGGCATGAGGCTAAATGTAAAAGAGACTATCAATTGCTCTCCTGGAAGCTCAAGTTGGAATTGGAGAAAATTAAGACGAATCCATGACTTTGAGTGTATCCTATCATAATCAAGAATATGAAAAAAAAGAATACAAGGGGATACCCCAAAACAAACCAAAACCTTTCCCCAAAGTGATCTATTTATTTTTTTTAACAAAACAACCTTATCACCTTCAAAGTTTTCTCCGTTACACTTAATACTTTTGTCAAATCTTCAATTCCATTCTTGGAAACACTTTGCAAATGCATCTGTTTGGATGGCTGATGGCACCTCTTTCGTTTTTTTCTTCACCTCATCTACATCATCAAATCACAGTCCTTTCATGTCGCTCTTCATTTGAGGAAATAAAGTCCCACGGAGTGAGGTCAGGTGAGTCAGGTGTGTGTAGCAAGAGAGGCATGCTGTCTTTTGCCTAAAACTGGAGCACTGAGATGGCTGTGAGCGGGTACGCTGTCGTGGTGGCAGAACGCCACAAATCAGGCCTTTTTATCTTTTTTTTTTTTAAATCAGGCCTTTTTTTGTTGGACACTGTTAACGTAATCTTTTCAGAAGCGGAAAGTAGGAAACTTGAGCAGCTGACCTGGTGGAAGGAACTCCAAATGCACTATGAGTTGACATTTTCGTCTGTTCGGGAAGTAGGCAGATGTCCAGAAAGAGGTTTGTCATCAATCAACATTTTACCTTTTTTGAAATGAGAAAACCACCCATACACTGTTTTTTCCCAGCGTGCTATCCTTGTAAGATGTGTTCAACATCACAACAGGTCCTGGGGCATTTTTACCGAGCAGGAAACAAAATTTCACAGCCACACGCTGTTCTCTTAAATTGGCCATCACAAAAGTTGAGGTTCGAGTGAAATTGCTGTTACGAAAAAACTCACT